ACAAAGAAAAATGGTAGAAGTGACAGCTGTTTCGGAGATCACCGCATCTCTTCATCAGACTTCATTATTCATTCAGGAATTAAGAATGTAATAGTTAAATTAGCGCACCAAATAGTTGTTGGTAAATAATAATGTTTATGGTTAATAATAATAATTAACATTACGTCTCCAGCAGGAAGCCGCATAAATGATTATAGTTGACAGATTAGTCCTTCTTTCTTTGCTTCGAGTTGCCTTGGGTTCGTGTTTTGACCACTATACAATTCATAATTAAATGAAACAGAATTTATGACAAATAAAGTAACCACAAAATAATCTACAACAGTTAAAATTATTTTCATGAATTTGCTCTACACAAACTTATGCGTGTTACATATATATACATACGCTCGCACCAGTGAGCGGTAAATAGAAGATGAAGTCATACTTAAATAAATATGCTCAGTTGATTGATAAAAAAAAAACAACAATAACCAAAATAATAATAATAAATGGGTTGCGACTGTTAGTTATATCTACGACACTCAACTACAAAAAGAAGCATGGATATAAATGAATGTGTTTAAAGGTATATATGTATGTGTGTGCAATATTAAAATTTCATACACCTGGCTTGAAGTGTTTTATAACTTTTTTTTGAAGAATTTAGATAATTTCATATTTTGTTTAAATATTTAAAAAAATTGGTGCACCTATTCGGGCTTACATATCTACAAACGTTCATACTTATACATACGTAAATATAAAGTTAACGATTACAATGGAATTCATTCATTTATCTGTAAATGGCTGATTCGAAAAAGAAAATAAAATTGAATTTTACAAAAACAAAAATTTAACTGATTACAGACGCGTTATCTTCACCTTCACTAACGGTGCTAAAGTGAGATATTAATGCGGTGATAAGATTAGATTTGGTTTGCCTTTACCTGAAAATAGCCATTATGCATTTACTGAAATATATGAGTATAAATACCGGTGAATTTTGCAATGCCAATCATACATACACATGTACATACGTGTAGAATAGATATTTATGAATGTGCTTTTCGCTACGAGCCAGCTCGTGAAGGATAAGTAAATAGGCAACGCCCTAAGTAACTAGAGAGTTAATACAAGAAATTCCGATTTTTTTTATTAACTTACCATGTATATTTGTGCATATATATATGTATGTATATTTTTAACAATACCCAGCAATTTTTCAATTTAACCTTAAATGTTCAAAACGAGCTCTCAAATTGTGTTCAAACATAATTCCACCTGATGTAGAATAAACTGAAGAAAAGTTTGTAGGAATATATCGAAGGGGGTACTCTCAATTCCTGCAAGATTGTGAACAATGGTATATTCAGAACTTATTGGAGAGTTTAAAAAAGATGTGAGTAATTTAAACAATAGTGGTTTTTGCTAACCAACGGATTCATTGCAGCTGATAAATATTTGAGTTGTAGTAAGGGTTGAGGGTTCTTAACAATCAAAACACAAAACTCTCCTTAACTATTTTAAATAATCAGAACGTTAAACAAAAAGCTTAATACATAGTGAAAAATACACCAGCATAATATAATATGAAACAACAATATAAGAAAACAGAACAAAATAAAAAATAATAATATAAATAATAAAATAAAAATAAACTATAATATAAATTAAATTTAATATATTGAAAATAAGAGAAATTATTTTTATTTAATAGAGTAAACTAAAATATTACAAAAAAAAAAATAAATAAAAAAAATTAAAAAGAAATAATATCAAACAAAAGAATTTAATACTAAATGAATATGAGTCGAATTATAAATACAAAATTAAAATAAACAAATCGAAATTATATTACTAAAACAGGAAATAAAAAATTAAATAATATTAAACAAAAAAAAACATAAAAATCAAACAAAATTAAAACAATAAAATAAAGTAAATAAAAATAGAATTCAATAAATTAGTATAAATTAAATTAATTAATTTTAAATTAATATATCATAAAATGAAGCAAAACAAACTAAAATAATTTTAAAAGTAAATTAAAAAAAATTAAAAAAGGATAAAATGAAATGATCTACAAATATTTATTATAAAATAAAACTTAATTAATTTAAATATAGCTAAAAACAACAACTCAAAGAAAAAAATAAATAATGAAATAAAATAAAACAAAATAAAAAAATAAAAAAATTAAAAAATTTAAATTAAACTAAATGAACAAACTTATACAAAATAAAGAAAATAAAATATTATAAATTAAAACAATATATAATAAGTAAAATAAAATAATATAAAAAACTTAAAATAAAATAAGCTAAAATAAAAAATTTTAAATAAATAAAATGAAATCTTATATAATTAATTGAATTAAAACAAAGTTAAATAAAAAACTATACAATACAACAAATTTAAAATATAATAAAAAAAAACAATTTTTTATAAAAAAATTTTAATAAATTAAAAGGAAATAAAATAAAATAAATTAAAAAATTAAACTAAATTAAATTAAATTAAATGTAAAATAAATTAAAATAATATAAAAGAAATAAAATAAAACTAATCACATATAAAAAAAATATTAATGGGATTGGGCATACCACAAACATCATTACAGCATAATTCGAATTAAGACTTGGGTCTTAAGGCTTATAAAGTTCAGTAAACACACGAACTCAAGCTGGCCGATCATCAACAACATCGTGCCTTTGTTGATTGGGTCCTTGAAATATATGAAATTTATTCATAATGTCATTAAAAAATTATCTTGACTGTTGACGCCCATTTGCACCTCGATGGCTACATAAGTAAAATAAATAAAACTGTGGCATCTGGGGTTCGGAAAACTCAAGATTTACTGTTAAAAATTCTATCCATCCTCAATGTGCTTGGAGCGATTTACGGTTCGGCATTGTCACTGCGCCTCACTTTATCGAAAATGAGGCTGCAGAGTAAAAGTTAAACTATTGAGAGATGATTTATGGGTTTTTATGATCGGAATTGAATGGCATTGTCTGGACCACATTCAGTTTCAACAAGACGGCGCTACATGCCACACGAGCAACGAAACCATCGATCTCTTAAGGGAAAAGTTACCGAACGCTGTTAGCTCTCGAAGAGGTGAAGAGGTGATCGCAGTTGGCCAAATATTCTGTGATTTAACACCTCAAAAATGGATTTTATGAAGCTATGGAGGGCATACAGCAACCACTTTGCGATTTGGTGATGGAAAGTTCTTAAAAAATGCGGTCTTTTGGCTGATATTGCTTTCCATTATTAATGGCATATCTTCCTCTTTACACTGAAATAAACATCCGTATATTTATCTGAAAAAATTGCATTCTTCTTCGAATATCAAAATAACAACTCTAATTGTATAATTAAGTAAAATAATATAAAATAAATAAAATAAAATAAGTTAATAACTAATATAAAATATATTTATCTGAAATATAATTAGATTTCGTGACTCGAAACGAATTATTTCATTTGTGAGTTAAATTTTTCAGCGTTCATGTGGGTCATACGAGTATCCACTCACTGCGAGTATGAAAATAAGAAAAATGCCGCCTTTTGACAAATAAATTAAATATTATACTACACGCTACTCCCTTTGCGCGCTTTTAAGAGTATTTTTTCGGGTCACATTTTATTTGATTTGCTTAATTAATTTCATCGCAATGTCATTCTTCTCTTACGCAGAATAAATTTTTGACGCATGCTACTGGCTTTTGCAGTGAATATGCTTTGTGTATAATATATATGTAGATATGTATGTATGTGTGCATGTGTGGTCAATTTTAATAGTTCAGATTTTAAGATTATCTTATTGACAAATATTTATATATATATATATATATATATATATATATATATATATATATATATATATATANAGTATAGTTTTAATTTTATTTATGCAAAGCGTAAAACTCATTGAAATATCAAAGGAATTTTCACAAACCGAATTGAAATTTGAAAAACTCGTAACTATCATTTGAGCAGTTGAGCAACGAAAGAGTATCGAGCTACTCTCAGTATCAGAGCTTTAAACGTATATTATTCGAAAAAAATCAGCTTAATGACTACCTCTCAAATGAGATAAGCCTCCGGTCTGCAAGAGTTTCCCTTCTATTGTTGCCTGTTTCCGTGCTAAAGTCCGGGGGATTTGTTAACTAAATCTATATAAATGATATACCGATGTTAGGGTGGAGATGTTAAAGAGTCATTTTTTTTTTGGAGATAATTTAGTCCCGCTGTGGCCTTTAGTTAGTTTCAGTTGGAAAAGTTCAGATCAGATCGAACTCCAATGCCTGAGGACCAGTGTAAAAATAAGGACAAATATAACAAATATAGTATAGTGATGGGCAGTTTCAACCAGGTTCCTATTATCCCATCATATCAATAGAGTCATAAACTCATGGATTTTGGTAGACCCAACTACTCAGGACCCATGGTCCATGAAAGTAACTTAAATACAAGTATGTAATTGGCACTTTGTTAACGCTAAAGCGATTTTCGGCCGAGCTTCTCCTCCAATTTGTGGTTTTGCGTTTTGATGTTTTTCCAAGAAATGGAGGGACTTACAGTTTACACAAAGCCGCCTCCGAACGGCTGTTGGTTTTTTATGAGGAGCTTTGATTTTCATGCTAGAAATACACCTATAGAGGAGCACGCTATTAGAAAAATGTGTATTTAAATTAGTTTTCCATAACTTGCGACATCAGGATTTATACCCGAGCCTCCGAATGGCAGTACGCGACGCTAAAAACTCATCTACCGCGGACGCCAAGAGTAGTAGTTGATATAAATTAGTTGCACGAGCGAGAAAGAAGACACCGAACCTGGAGAACTGTTCAAAATAGATCTTCGCAGTTCTTTAATATTTCGTGGCTTGTTCTGAGAAGATTACGTTAAATATTTTCTATTATGCTTATCCATTTGTCTCCAGTCTTGTCCAGATCTTTTTAATTCATATTTTTCCAATTCTTTTTCATTCTTTTTTTTATTTCCAGCATAATAGTTGGTGCTCCCCGTGCTCAGTCCACACTGCCCGCCCAGCGAAATGTCAACGAAACCGGTGCCATATATCGCTGCAGCCTGTCAACCACCTCGACGTGCAATGTATATGTAATAGATGACAAGGGAAATCGCACAATTGAGCAGCCGGACTCTTACACGTACGATAATGAGGCGCGCAATAATCAGTGGCTTGGCGGTGCCATGGATGGTGGTACCAAGGATACAGATAAGCTGTTAATTTGCGCGCCTCGTTTTTTAGCGCCTACAGCCAATGACTACCTAATGAATGGTATTTGTTACTGGGTCAATGATACTCTTAATGAAACTCCCGTAAACGTCCAAAAGATTTCGCCTTTACGTTTGAGATCGCTTCAGTTGAAAAATGTAGGCACTACGCGCACCTTCTACTATATGTTAGCTGAAGAGGGTCTGAGTGCACACGTGACTGACAATAACAAAGAGTTCATCATTGGTGCACCCGGTATTAATAATTGGAAGGGTTCGACCATACATTGTCGTAAGCGATTCGAGGAGGATCCCACTTTGAGTAGACGAGATACCAATGCTTACCCAAAAATTCGTAAAACACGTGATCTTGAATTCTTTGAATCATACCCTTTGGTTAACAAAGAACAGATGAATGATTCGTATTTCGGTTACGCCGTCGGTTCGGGTTATTTCGATAGCAACGACAAAAATCAGCTGATGTATGTGGCATCTGCGCCGCAAGCGAATCTGCAGTCGGGAGAGGTAAGTAATTGTTTAATTTGTGGTCTACATATTTAGATTCTTAATGCATAATTTTCAACATCAACAGGCCTACTTGTACAGATACGCTGAGGATAGTACGCTTCAGTTGAAGCGCTATTATGTCTTTCGTGGTGAGCAGTTCGGTGAATATTTCGGTTATTCACTGGTAACAGAGGATCTCAACGGTGATGGACTCACGGATGTGGTGATTTCTGCGCCCCAACACTCGGTGACGGGTTTCTTCGATGAGGGCGCCATCTATGTGTTTCTGAATAAAGGAAATGTGAGTGGGGGCGTTGGAAAATTTTAGATCTTCCGATAAATAAACTGATTTTTTTTTTCGTAGTTCAACTTCGAAAGAAAACTTATCGTCTCACCAATGCAAGGCAGGGCACGTTTTGGCACGACACTTAGCCGTCTGGGTGACATCAATCATGACGGCTTTAATGGTTGGTAAACAATTAGCAAAGTAAAATTCAAATCTTCTAACAAGAAATCATCTCTTCCTTTCGCAGATATCGCCGTGGGCGCACCATTTGCTGGCAACGGTGCCGTCTTTGTCTACCTCGGCAACTCTAACGGCTTGCGTGAACACCATAGTCAACGTCTGAATTCGCCAGATTCCGTTATTAGCAAATACGGCGAACATATGTTCGGCCATGGTCTTTCCAAGGGCGCAGATATCGATCACAATGGTTTCAATGATTTTGCCGTCGGCGCACCAAATGCCGAAGGTGTTTTCGTCTATCGCGCCTATCCGGTGGTGAAGATACGAGCTACCGTTAAATCGCAAACACGTGAAATAAGAACTGATCAAAATTCCTTTAAAATCACTGCCTGCTATAAAATCACCACCACTTCGACACAGTTGAAAGAACAAGATTTGGCTATACGCCTTGTGGTGGACTCACAAGTCAAGCGTGCCAAGTTTATACAAACTCGCTCGAATGAGCTCAGTTTTAACGTTTCAGCCGGTCTGCAGGAGCAGTGTCGTACGTTCGATTGTGAAGTGCACACCAATGTGGCTGATATATTCAAACCAATAGAGCTGGAAATGCATTATGATCTCATCAATGGCGTACCGAATTCGGAAGGTGAGTAGAAAATTGGGAATTTCTAAATTGAAGTATCAGGGGATGGGTCGAAGTATTTATTTAATGAAACTACATATTCCGTTGATAAAAAAAGGCAGTGGTCTCTTAGCGCTTAGAGACCACGATATTTTCTGCTTCGCGCACTTGTGAACATTAAGTGTAGCCAGGTTTCTCTGCACATGTTTGTACCAAAGGTCTCTCTCTTTTTCAACTTCAGCCAGCGTATATGGCATCAAGACCTTTCAGGGCATAGCTTATCCGAGAAAGTGACGGATTTCTGAAGTTTAATTATTACTCATCTAGAGACAAGTTTACTTCGCAATTGGCTACTTACACCCGACGTGATTGATTCTGCGTTGCATTTGAGCGCTGTCAGATTTGTAAGCTAATAAACGATGTTGTCTATGACTTCAAAGTAATGACTGCCAAGAGTGACGTAAGAGACATCATGAAAGCGTGCTGGCCCTTTCACTTCCGAGCCTGTTCGCTTCCCTTCCTTATCAAGTTTGGAACTAAAGGTGCGGCGCAAAAGTCAACTGGTTAGCAATGTAATGCCCCTCAGCAGGGCACGTCTCCGAATTAAAAGCTCGTCAAAAAAAAAACATTGGCAATGATGAACGTTCTTTCTTGGAGTCAAATATCGAATCGGTAATGCGTTGAGGAGCCTCGCGGATTTTGGCTAAATACTTATACACTAAGATGAAGGAGAGAACTTAGCGGCAGTGCCCCCCTGTCACCACAATACAACAACGAATTCGCGTTAGTTTCAATGACCACAAAAGTTAATTATACCAATGACCTCTTGATCTCTCTTTGGCTGTCTGTCAGATCAGCACTTTTTCAAAGCATCAAGCATCGTTTCCACTTAAGGTAGAGGACATTTCTGGTCATGACTTCATTACGTTTAAAGTTTTTGATCGAGGATCTTGCTGTTTCTTTTTTTGTTAGAAGTCTGCTTTTATATGACAAATCTCCAATGAAATTGCAACCTACCAAAATAAATTTTAGGTTAAGTATATCGAATATTTCCGAGTGTCCTAGTGGAAGACCATTTTCTCCTTCAAGTGTAATACAATGGCCACAAAAGACACAAGGATTCACAGAGGTCATGCATCTTGCCACATCTGTGGTGTAAATGCAACCAGCCTTCGGCTGTAATAGCCTACCCATTTCGCAAGACTACTTTACTGCTTAAGATCAGCCCACTGCAGATTCTGAGATCATCATAGTTCAACTCAGTCTCTTCTCTGTGCTCATGCTATCGAAGCGAAAATAGGTTCATAACGCTTAAACCCACATGTAAGCGACTCGCAATACTTCGCGTCCAAAATACCCTTTCGAGCTATCGATCTGCTTAACTTCCTCCAGATTTACAATGTACAGTTGTCAACCAAGGAACACTTCACATGACATCGAGAAAATTTTGAACCTAAATGAGTTGTTTTCTGAATGAAATACTTTCACTTAGTTTTTTCCCTTCAACCCGACTTCACAGCCCTTCTAAATATTCTTCCCATCTTTGCAGTTTTTTGCGATAAATGTGCCGCCGTCGATCCGGCCGAACCGAAGGTGTACAGTGAGAAGATTATCTTTAACACGGGCTGCAGCTCCGATATTTGCGTAGCGGATCTGGAAATTAAGAGTCACAACGTGGAGTAAGTACCAAAAATTAATAAAAAAATAAGGGATATTTGTTTATTAAAAAAATGTCTTCCCTTCTAATTTCAGTCATACATACATACTCGGCAGCAGTCGCACACTCTCCATCACCTATGACATAACGAATCACGGTGAAACCGCTTATCTACCTCAACTCAGCATCAACTCCTCGAATGGCATGCCATTTGCTAAGATACCTGGACATTGTCGCACAAAAGATTCCGATTCTTTGGAATGTGATTTAAATAGTAAAGATGTATTGATGGCGAAAGGCGCTACAACCCAGTTCACAGTTACTTTCGATGTACAGGGTATATCCGGAAAGGCAATGATAGTGACGGCGAGAGTGTTCAGTACAGGCAAGGAAGCTAATGAAGCCAATAATGTGGCGGTTGATGTAATAACGCTGGGCGAGTTTACGGAAATCGATATTGTTGGGTGAGTGACGTTATGGGGTTTATGAAGAGGCTTATGTGATCTCGAGATTTTAATTTACTTATTATCTACTAAGCCTTTCGGGTGAGCGCGTGACTTTTGTTTTCGGTTTAGACGTGAAGACATCTGATATTTCTGTATTTGAAAAAAAAAAATCCATTTCGCCTGCTCTTCATCTGAAAGCAGAGTGAGTGTTTTAATAAAATCTTAGGGCTTGGACTAGATTCGCCTTTGGAAGCTATTTGACATATCTATCATGGTAAACATGAATCTAGCGAAGAGTTCTGAGCGTCTCCTCCCCTGCGATAAGCTTCGGAGTAGCAATTTCGAACACTACCAGTTTGTTCGTGTTTTATATTTTTATTTAAAGACCGTCAAATTGGTCTTCGCGGAGATGGAGATTCCAAGGTTGTTGCTCCCTCTGCTCTAATTCTTCGAAACAGCACTTTTCCTGGACCATCCGTATGATTATCGAGTTGGCATTAATTGGCTTTACTTGCACCTCAGTGGTTAGCAGCAAAAAAAGCTTTAGCGATCGATAATGCTGACTCCTGTTGCTTTCGATCGACGGGCGGCTAGCCTTTTCGATGTTCTCCTACGGCTTCGTGGCTTAGCTCGGCGAGAGCTGGGTTGCTGCTGAGCCTCATTAGAAAATGTACTATCTTTCGACCACCTTATTCAAGACCGCCTTAGTGAGGCGGAAGCCGACTTGTTATCCATTTCTGTAGCCTTTTTTAATTTCTTTTGTATGCGTATTTGACTAATAGAGGTTTTTTTTCGCTTGTAGTATACCGAAAACGAAGCATATCAATTTGGAGGAGGTGAGCAACAAATCGGAAATCATTAATAACTATGAGGTGAGTCCTCTAGCACTGCTAGGCATTCCACAAAACTTTTTGACCCTCGCTTTTTTCTACTTTCACAGATAAAAAGTCTCGGTCCCAGTAATATCGGACAAATGGACGTGATATTCTATATACCTGTAGCGTATAAGGTACCCGGTACTACCAACACCATACAGATAATCGAAAAGGATCGCATAAATATGCAGGCTGTCTACGACACACAGCGGACTGATATACATTTCTATGAGAACGATAAACAGCTGATAATGAATGCGCTCGAGGTTGCGACGAGTGCGCACAGCGAGAAAAGCACAAGCAAAAGTTTCCAGACATACAAACAAAAACAATTCAGTACAAGTTCAAGTTCAAGTTTTGAATCGACGGGCTTTTATGACTTGGCAGTTGAAAACGATAATTGTAAGGCATTAAACCAAAAAAAAAAAAAAAATATTTATTAATATTTGCATTTTTTATTTTTTTTTTTTATCTAGTCCAACACGATAACAACAACATGATCTCAAATATGTCGATACGTCGCCGTCGGCGCGAAGCTGCCACTGCCAATGTCGTCACCAAAGCTCAGTATGAACGCATCGTCAAGGCGCACGAGTTGTTGGGTGAAGATCTGAAAGGCAAATTGCCGGTAAATCGTACGATTGTGTTCAATTGCAATGATCCCGAGATGACAATATGCTTGCGTGCCGTTATACGTGTGCATGATTTCAAACCGGAGAAGCCCATCACCGTCAATATGAAATATACCGTCGACTTGCAAGAGATCAATCAAATTTTGATTGAGCCTTGGGAATACTTTGTTATACATATTGGCGTGGATGTGAAAAAGGATGGTGATTTGGCTGGCAAATCGCTGGGCATACGTAAAAGCATAGACTATAATATCGTGTCGAAACATCAGCTTTACGGTACACCTTTCTGGGTGTACATATTAGCCGTGCTAGGTGGCCTGCTGTTGTTGGCGCTCATCACCTACGGCATGTATAAGGTGAGTTTTTGACAAATAAAAAGAAAAGATATTGAATCGCTTGAAAACGATAAGAGAACAAATAATTAACTGATACTCTGATACGCTTGAAAGTCAGGTTCATTGATTTGTTGAAACCAGAGAAGCGTAGGAATTTCCAAAACTTATACTGATATGAACCTATAAGCATTTAATTATGGCGACATTTGAAAAAAATTTTGATGCAAAGCGTTATTTAATTGGCGTTTTATAACCGCTTCAGACATTCTCCTCCGAGCTCTTTCTCTGACTGAAGTGAGGAAAAGTACGGAACTGGACACCTCACTCTTCTCTTTCAGCTTGGAAGCCTTTACTGTCATATTGTAAATCTACGCTCTTCTACGACGAGTCATTGGTTCTTCTTCTTTCTTGTTGGCGTTGACAGTGCTTACGCGATTAAAGTCGTTGTTTCCCTTAGCTGTTCGGCACTTATTGAAGAACCCATATCAAATCAACGTCTAGCGAATCATCGCAACCTTCTAAAGCTCATTCTTACGGACGACATGACCTAGTCTCCATTGTCTCCATAAATCGTCTTTCGCCAAACCTCTCTCTCAAAAGCTCTAAGCGCCGACTTTTCAAACGTTCTCACCATCTTAGCGTCTACACCATTATAGACTAATGTTTTGTCTCACCCTAATAGGCAGTAACTCATAAATTTCAAGTTATTTGTTGTGCGTTTTTTGCTAAAAAAAAAAACATATTACTTTTTTTTAATTCTAAACTAATTTTCCATTACAGCTCGGTTTCTTCAAACGTGCAAAGAAGGAGGAAATGGACGCATTAGTTCATCAAGGCTCAACGAGACCGGCCGCTGGGGACATAGAGCCGGAAGCAGAAAATCTTAACACCGAAAGGAATTAAAATTAGTTAAAAAATAATTTAAAACTTGAAATATTTGTTCCAATTTTTTAAGCTGCAATATTTATTGAAACGAATGGCTTTATCAGTAGCAAGAAGTGAATGTGCGTTGGGTGCAATTAAAAAATGCAGACTTTTGTGCTTTCTCTCTCTCAAGGGGAAGGGGAAGAAAATTTGCAGAAATGGTGCCAGTGTTGCATTTGTTAATTATGTATTTTTTTTGCTTGATTAATATTTGTTTTTAAATTTTATTATTAATTTTTTTATTAGTATTTTTTTTTATTATTATTTTTTTTTATTATTATTTAGTTTTTTTTTTTAATTTTTTTTTTTTGGAAAAAGAGTATGAATTGCACTTTAATTAATTTTTATTGCGATTTTAATTTGAAAAAACTTGATTTTAGTATTTTATTAAAAAAATACATTTTATTTCAATTTTAATTAAAAAAAATTAAATCACACGATATAAAACCGACGAGACCAAATGAAAATAATTTATTTAATTGTTGAATTATATTTATTTAATTGTATGTATTTTTAACGGTATGTACGTATGATAGTCGTTAGTTAGGCGCTTTTTTGATAATAAGAAACAATAACAAATTAATAAACAAATCGAAAATTCTTATACAAATGTATGTATGTATAAAGTATGTATAAAATATAATAATATAAAAGAGCATAAAAATAATTGAATTAACTTAAGCTGCCATGTGTATATGTATATAATAGGCATAACTGTATTTTATACTTAAAGAAACATGCCAATAAATATAAGAAACAAAAAAAAAATAAAAAATAAAAATTTTAATTCTTATTATTGGTATGTGCCTATGTACATATGTATTTTAGATATGTACTATTCAAAACAACTCCCTCATGTAAACACACTTCAGCCTATATATATATGTATATTGTGTATAAAAGACTTTTTCTTAATTGAGTGCATTTAATATAAGTTAAATTTAAATATTTGTATAAAGTATTGTTGTAAATGCCAACAAATAGTTTTGCACTTTCCCTAAATATAAGTAATTAAGCAAATATACATGCATATAAAAACGAATTGATGTGCTTGCGTATGTATACTTATGAATGTGTGATCTTTCAGTGAATAACTTCGCAGTCAATCAAAAAAAAAAAAAAACTAAAAAAAAAATTTTTTAGAAAAAAAGTATTAAAATAAATTTAATAAAAAAACTATTTATATGAAAATGATTATTGTTAATTTTAAGTTTATTTAATTTCTTTTGTTTTCTACAAATAAAATACGTTTATAAATTTAAAAACGAAAATTTATCATAATTTTTATTTTTTTTTAGTTTTTCATGAATAACTTTTTTTTTTTACTAAAATGAATGTTTTTTTTACTGAATTTCTTCGTTTTTCTAGTAAATACAGTCACTCCGTTTATTGCGATTATGGCAATTATTTGGCAGCTTCAAAGCTCAGCATCTTTGAAATTCCAAAAAAAAAAAAAACCAAAAAAATACTGGAATTCGTTCTTTGGGATTTCTAAAAATTTATTCATGCCTTCCATAAAACTATGACGAATACATTTGATAAAGTATAATTATGTGAGTATGGATGTAAGAATATTTATGTTGAAAAATGAGCCCCAGCGAACCAAAAATATCGCATTTAAATTTATGTGGTTGTGTGTGGCTTGCGCTCATTATATGTATATATGTATATAGATATGACATTTGTTCAACGTTTGGCACACGACCGCATCAATTACTCACTTCATGTAGCCTGAGATTAGACTTTCGTACGATTGAGCTGTATAGGTTGCCTTAGTTGAACCAGCGAGGCTCACCTAGACCATAGATAATACATACGTCCATAGTGTCACCAGTACACTACATACGACCCAACTACACTCTTTACTGTGTTTCCACTGAGAATGTCATTACTGTTCTCTTCGCAAATCGCAGCAGGACTAAGCTTGCGCTGTTAATAAACCTACTAGCAGCCCAGAGTCCGGCTTCTTTAGCGCTAGTAAAAAAAACTTTGAAAGTTCCCCGTCATAAGTTCCGCGCATAGCTTTCATGATTACACAGCCCTCTGCTGGTTTCCCAAGTCTGTTCTCCTGACGGTGCAAGATTACTTCTAGTACTGGCTTCACTTTTAAATATGTTTCTTTCAGATGGTTGTTTTCAATCCCTTCTTCGACAAGAAATGTCAAGCCTTCGAAGTGTATTTTGAATATTAAATAAAGGCTCCCCATAAAAAAACCATCAGCCGATCGGAGGAGTGTAAATTGTCCCCTCATTTGTTGGAGAATCATCAAGACGCGTACCCCAAATTCGAAAAGGAGCTCGAGCATAAATCGTTTCATTTATACAGCTTTCGGCCAACATAATCGCACAGCCGAGTTGGGGATTTAAGCAACCATGGATCGGTTTTGCATCACGTACACTGTAGCGGGTAATGCGCACCCTCACAGATACCGTTCAGCGCCCTATTGATGTTGTGGAGCGGAGTATCAAAGAAGACCCGAAGACTACTGAAGATGTCTCCCTTCACTTTATAGCGGAAGGATTTTAGTTTTCAAAGTTACAAAATCCAACTTGTGCAAGAGCCGGAAAACCATCAAGCACGTCTCATATCGGCCACGAAACTGTGGTGTTTGGAAGGATGATAATACCTCAGCTTTTATTGAGACACCGTTACTTAATTACTCGAGAGAAAGGTCCGCAGACGATATAACGTTGAGCTGTACGACTTATATAATGACACTGAAATAGTTCAGCGAATCAAGAAGCAGCGGCTACGCTGGCTACGTCTTGTGGTCCGGATGGATGCGAATACTCCAGCTTTGAAAGTTTTCGATGCAGTACCCGCCAGTGGAAGCAGAGGAAGAGGAACACATCCACTCCGTTGGAAAGACCAGGTAGAGAAGGATCTGACTATACTTGGTATTTCTGATTGGCGCCAAACAAACGCTGCAGTGCTGCACCGAATCGAAATATTTCCAGTTTTTCAGCTGCCTATAATAAATAGGAGATGCTCAAAGTGGCATTAAACGTTGGTGTTGTTTTGAAATGCGCCTCTCCAACCTATATAGCCTCCCACCATACTAGAGCACCGTTTGAGTATTAATTTTACTAACGCAACGAAGATCCAGTGCGAGAGGACATGTTAGAGACCCCAAATGCAGCCCAACATCTTGTAAACGCATATAGAGCCGCTGATGTTTTCTTCACGCACTCCTCTATTCTGCGGCTCCACGAGAGCCTGCTGTCCAAAGCAAATCCCGAATGCTAAGTGCTAAGTTTCAACTGCAAAGTGGCATCTCTGAGCTATAGTTTGATGCTAGCTGTGAATATACCAAGATCTCTTTTATCGGTATTAACCTTACGTCTTGTTGAAGAAGCCCCATTGTTAATGGTTCCAAGTCCACCGTGGGTTTGAACTCGTTTTTAGATATACGAAGTGACTAAAGCATGTATTTTCCTCTCAACCGACCGTTCAGATCTAGGACTTTGAATGATTAGTGCTGCCTGTTTTTTGCCAATTCTCGGAACAGCTCTTTTGCGCTATCTTGGTGTGTCCCAGAGCTGTTTTTGTGACTCGGCTTCGATCTTTCCAGTTGTCTCTTCATCGTGGGAATTGGAAAAAGGCGCAGCAAAAAAAAAATCTGGTGAATACCTTAACTGAGGCATGTTTAAATTGTTATTGTATCCTTTTTCATATTACATCAGGCAAGGGATTATATGACCTTTAGTAAGTGCTTTGATTTGGTTGACTTAAAAACCTGATTCGACGCAATTATAACCATTTTGAGTGATTCAGAAGATTATGCAATTTTGTAATAGATCGTTTCATGTGTTCAAATCTGGTTTATCAAAAGAAAGTAAAAAAATAAATCCTTCAAATATTGTCCGTCGGAAGCGACTACTTTTTCCCATCGCCTTGATAATTTTCTAAAAAAAGTGAGGCCTCTATGTATTCGACCCAATCATAGATTCATACTTCGATTTCTTCAGAAGATCCCAACCGGTGATCCCCCAATTAGTTGTGCATCCATCGAAAATGGCAGTATTCGGAAGGAACAAGGTCTGGAGAATGTGACGGATGGGGCAGGAACTTTCTTTTCAGCGTTTTCAGGTAGTTTTTTTTGCGGTTACCGTTACAGCCGAGCATTTTTATATTGCAAAATCATGTTGCTATAATTTTCGTTCGTTTCAGTGTCATCCACTAAATCTCAAGTCAAGTCGATCTTTGCCTTTGGCCCTAAACTATCACTTAGGAGCTGTCGAAATCACTCTCTGCATGACTTCTCGGTCGACGCAGACTCATCACAAGCTCTAGATAGGCTTCACGATCTTCCTTTCCGAAAAGCTGTAATTGTAAAATATGTGCAAAGGAAAGACAGCAACGACAAAAAGTCGGTCGGAAGTTAATTGAACCAATTGTAAGCATCGAGTATTTCAGCTCTCAAATGGTTTGCTGGGTATTTACAATACATTTTTCCACCCACAGCATTGGTATATGCGATGTGTGTCATACATATTGAATTAATATGTATTTTTGTAATCGGTGAAATATTTTACGCGAGATTTTTATAATTCTTTATCAAAGCCGAAGCGTACGTCAAGTCAAGCTCAAAATTTCTATTGAACTTGCCCCCAGTTCGCGTTGATGGTTTAAGCGCTACGGTTCGCGAAGATTTGGAAAACTTGTTGTTACGGGGTGAAAAAAATATGTATCGGGTCGAAATATTCGCAGGAATTTTGTACTTATATCTGTCGAGTGCAGTGCAATCGTTTAATTTAGCTCCTCTTCCAAATGTTATAATAAACGGGCCGATAAATGATGCACGCGGAATAGGGAAAGGTGACGAAAAGTATAGCGCATACTTCGGTTATACAATTGTGCTCCGTGAGACAAGGTAGATCTAGTGGTGGAATTATTAATATTATAAAAAAATTAAATAAAGTGTGGAAATGTCGAGGAATATATACACAGTGCGTTATTCCCCGTACTTGTCTTGGAGGGACTGCAGATATATAATTGCCTCGAAAGGACCATAGAATAATCAATTTTCCTGTAAATTCGTGATTGAAAAAGAAGGTAGTGACTTAATGTGGCAAAAGTCGACCACAAGCCAAGTTCAATACCAGGTCTACGACAGCAGAAATGTGCTTTGTGTCTCTAAACTGAAGTTCATCACCTCGAAAAGTGAAGAGAGATTTCTTGATTTCGGTTTCATTACTCAAAATATGGCATCTTCCCCGAAGTAAGGCCGCTGAAAGCAGACTAGGCTTGTGAGGTGATTTTAAAGTATGAGACTTGTATGTACTGCGTACGCTCCATGTGCTAAGGATTCTAATTTTTCTGCCTTTTTATAATAGCTCAGCGATTTTCGATCAAGCTCCTCCTGTGCGTTTTGATGGTTTCCAAACATTTTTAGGTACCTACAATTCATTCTAAGCCACCTACGAAAGGACGATGGATTTTTATGAGGACCTTTTTTATTTCCTATCAGAAAAAAACTTGAAAGGCTTGGCATTCCCTGAAAAAGGGGCGAACGAAATTAAAATTATAATTTTCTATAATTTTGCATGTTAGCTAGTTTGTTTGATCACGGAACCCCGACCAAACGTGATTAGGCCTATGTTGCTCCTGCTTAGAATACTCTTATCTCCTTTCCAAATTCCCAAACCACTTGATACTCAGAAGATTAATGCTACGTCTACCGATGCCAGCTCTACAAGGCAATCAAAGAAAAAGTTGTTGAGAAAACGATAACGGAACGCACTGAGAGGTGGACAATGGCAGAAGTTGTGCTCCAACGATTCCTCATCATCTATGTTCTTGCAATCGTTAGAGCAGCAACCCATCCTTCTACCATGAGTTCCCATAAGGCAGCGTACGGATATTCCGCCGGTTGTTATGCTTATACAGGACCAGTTTAGAGCTAGTCGAGACTTAGTTATATTCATTTAGATTATTGACCAGTTTTGTCTCATCATTTTGCACCCGGTTTCACTTTACCAACTGCTGTTGGCCCTTCTGGTGACTGTTAGTCTTTGGCAGATACTTTGATTCTTTGAGCAAAGGGATATGTCCACGTCATGTGCAGTGCTGTCCGTGGTTAGGACTATTCCTTTTCTAGCCAGTTCGCCGGCTACGCACATTCTCTGCATTCTTTTGTCACTTTTGTGATGGTATGATTGGATTGGAGAGACTAAATGGCAGGTAGGAACCATGGGACTGCTTTCGTTATTGCGGTTAGTTTTGCTTGGAAGATTCTGCAGTGGCCTGGAAGTGGGGTGTAATCCACCTCTTCCGAGAGTGATGTAGAGTTTAGTATTTGAGCGTCTCATTTGCGGTTATTCCATGGTTGATTTGATCGTATTACTTTCCACAGCCATAAATTAAAGAAGTCATACGATAAGAAACCAGTTTTTCTGGAACCTCATTTGGTATTAGAAGTCTCAAAGAGTTTCTTCCCGAACCTGACGCGTCATATTTAAGTTTTGCGGGCAGCGCACACATGGGTTCTAACCTTGGGCTTGCATTCATCCGATCATATTTTGCAAAGAAACTGATTCGTTCATCCTATCAGTTCCTCTCACCGTGCTTGAATAACTCGGCAGGAGTTTTCTCCGGTATTGTATTCTGCTGTAAAATGTGGTATATTTTCATATAATTTTCGAATACCAACCCTCTTGGGCTAAGCAGCTGGCACTTGGTCCTTCAACTCGGCTGATTTATTTGTTTGTCTTAACAAACATACTGCTTTCCTTTTCAGCTCTCGCAGCGTCGTGAGGAAGACAGCCTGCTCTCTTTGCTCTGGCGCACGGAAATCTTCAACACACCAGGTGTTTTTATTTACTTCTTTTTAACTCAATAGTTTCGTTTGTAGCTGTGCACGTAGAGAGCTTGAAATTCCGTCCAACAATTCCCTTATACCGAGTTGTTGATCAGCGCTCTCAAAGAGTAGGAGTGCAAGTGGTGTATGAAACTATTCGGCTGTCTAAGGTGATTGCACTTTTCGACGTCGAACCTTACTCTCCTTCCCTGGTTTGTTGAGGAGCATTCTTTGCTGAACGGAAGCGGGTGTATATCTTTGCTACCACAAGAAAGTGGTCCGAGTCGTTATAACTCTATACCAACATGATCGGTCTGGATTAGTTTGGATCAGTCCGGGTCCTCAGTTTGAACGAAATGCCGAAAACGACAAAAACATTATTGTGTACTAGTAAAAGTGTATTTTTTTATTTATTTTTTCTATTTTCAAGTGTTCTAATTGGTGCACCACGCGCCGTTACTGCTCAGCCTGACAATACTTCAGTAGAAACTGGTATAATTTACAAATATGATTTGCGGGCACAGGAGCTAAAACCATTTGAATTGGAGAGTAATGTGACTTTTGAAACATTTTACGGATTGCAACAAAGCAAATCTCGGCAGTGGTTGGGTGGCGCAATGGATGGTGGGAGCAGAGATGCGGATCCTTTGATCGCCTGTGCTCCGTTACAAACAGCTACAAAGCTCAACAAGTAAGTAATTAATAAGTTCCAAAATTATGATTTTCGCTTCATTTTTTTCTATGGAAAATCCTTACAAAAGGCTCTTTGTGTCCCCTTTCGAAATTCAGCCGTCTCCGAACGGCAGATGGATTTTTATGACAACCTTTAAATTTCATGTCAGAAATGTGCTCTTGGCAAGGGTTTGCATTTTTTGACATTCCTTGCTGAGGGGCTACCACAATTAGAAAAAATATTTTTCTATAACTTTTGGGTGTCGACGGACAAGGACTCGAACCCTGGTCATTATAATTTTGGTGTTAGACTTGAAGACCGGAGCAAACTCTTGTAACCCTCAGAGATGCGATCTAGCGACTGATACCCAGAGTATATTGAATTTATGAAGCGAACACTACTCTAGCCTGCTGAATGGCAGTGAAAATGGAAAGCCGGACGACGAAAGCGAAAACGATTTTTGATTGCTCGAATCGGAAGAAGTTCGCTTGTAATTGTCCGCTTGAAAAACAAAAAAGTGGCGAAAGAAATGGATTGCCTACTGACCGTACTACCCACGGTTGGCACCACACAATCCAAAAAAGGAGGACCCTTCAGGCTGCTTCAGTTACCAAGGGTTGAGGCTTCTCAATTACGCATCTATGCTCCTTTGGAACCTGCTGAGTGAAAGACTAGCACATACCGCGAACAAGCCAATAGGACCTTGCAAATATGGCTTTATACCTGGTAAATCAACCATTGAACAGATATCGTGTGGTGAATATCTTTGAAATGATCGATCCACCATTGATTTTAAAGCAACCTCCATCAATACGAAAATCAGCTGCCTCTATTCGATTATGCAATACTAAAAGTTAAGGCAAGACTGGGAAGGACCTCTCCCACGTGTTTGATAATAAACGAGTTTTCAGTCAAGATAACTGCCTTTCGTGTGATTTTTTTAATCTATTATTGGAGCGGCAAAGCTGGAGAGCGAAGATGCAACCGATGAAGCGATATGCTCAGCAAATCAATAGATAGCGGGTACGCTGCCTGAGGTCAAGTGGCCTGGATGGATATGAATATTCCAACTTTAAAAGTTGTTGATGCAGTACCCGCCCTTGAAGTAGAGAAGAACGATAAAGTGGACCTAACTTCACTTGGTATCTATCCAGCGTCAAACGATGAAAAGAAGGAACGTAAAGAGATTTTAAAATCGTTTAATTTCACGAACTTTGGAAGCTGCTCTTGTGGGTCAAATCTTGCCAGAGAGCATTGTACTCAAATCAGCTCCACTAGCTCAATTTAGGGATTGCTCTAGTGCTCTAGATCAGGGTTAAGAGACTTCGAAATGGAACGGAGCCCCTGTCTCAGTCATCCCTGTCACCCTTGAGAATATTCAATAATTTAAAAAGAAGTAATCTAAAAATCTCTTATATATTTTCTGAATAATTACAGTGGTGGGTTTATGCACGGCGCTTGCTACTGGACAAATAATACTCTGCACGCCGAAAAACAAAACCGCATATCTTGGATTTTAAGCCCATTTGCAGCGAAAGGTTGGTTGAGACTACGAATTATTTCGTGAAAATAATTTCGTTAATTATTTCATAAAGGTGAACACGACAAACAGGAAAACGAAAATTTGAAATATTCCTTTCTGAGATATGGACAATATGGCTTTAGTATACTCCTAACGGCAAATAATAAAACCGTTATTGCCGGCGCCCCCGGCCTATCGAATTGGGAAGGTAAGTTGATTTGAATTGTATCAGTTCTCGTGTCGAAATTATGATGTCGACTGTACTTGGCGATTCCTTTTCTGTTCTAGTACTAAGGCCCAGGACCTTTACTCTTTCACACGGCACGTTAGGTCTTAAATCTTATTTGCAATAATAAGGCAGTAAAGTTGCGACTATGCTGCTTCTATGACAAATGCATTTTCTCAGTCTAGCCGATACGCCGCCGTTATCCGTCAATTGGTTATTCTTCAGACGGGTAATGTCCATTTAAGTTTTGTCATAGTTGGTAGGGTCATGGCACATTTAGGGCATTGTACTCTATTTTTATTAGACAGACTGAACTCAGACTTATACGAATATCGGTCACCAGATCGTCTCTATGTGTCCGACTAGCGAATGCTCCGGGTTTGAAACTTCTTCTAGAAGCCACCACATCTCTTCTTCGAAGTTTAGCGCATTACTCTTTTAAGCATTTTGAACTAACCCTTTCGTGTTTGCCGAATGCATAACGCTTACCTCCTCAGCTTCTTCGGGTTTTTTACCATACGCTTCGATTGCGCAGCTCTCTCTGCAGCAACTCGATATCATATTGTTGAATAGTTGTTAGCTGTGTTTAGAGCTTTTGTTTTTAGCGTCTCCCTTTTTAGGTACTCTTGGTCGTGTATCCAGCTAGAGAGTATTTCTGGAATCTTATGTTACAGGCGTTCATGTTTCCGATCTCGATCTAAGCTTGTTCAAGTTCATGAGTTTATCGACCGTTGTGCCAAACATATCTCTTTTACCAACTTGAGATTAAAGTCACCTACCACTATTCCGACCTTGTGGTGTGATCAATATGGAGACATTGTTGGGTATGGGAATAAATCGGATATATGAAGACCAATCTCCTATTAATGCGGATTTCGTTTATCCGCAGCAGTGAATGCCGGTACTCCATCACCAAATTTCCACCATTTTATACGTCAGTCACCGATTTCACTGAAGTCTCCTCTGAAGTTGCGGGGACCTTTTGATTAATTCACTTTAGACATCATTAAAATATTAGTTTCCCACAGGCAAAGTTATACACTTCGACTTACGGAATAAAAAATCACATAGGACCAAGACTCATACGAATGCCCCCAAACCGCAGTATAAAGGATATGCAGTGGGGTATGGTTATTTCAATACCAGTGATTCACAACAAATGTCTTATGTAGCCTCAGCACCGAAGGGAAGGGTGAGTTTCGAGAATTTAAATAACTTAAGCGAAATAACTTTCACACGCCCGCCTCATCATTTCAGGTTCAAATCTACACCGATGCAAAGCGGTGGAGTCAAAACATGTTTCCAATGCAAACGGGTTATTATGGCACTCAATATGGCGAGTTTTACGGTTATTCACTACTGGTGGAAGATTTGAATGGCGACGGCTTGGATGACATTTTAGTAAGCGCTCCACATCGCATAGTTAATAATATTTTCGAAGCAGGTGCTGTTCACATGCATATCAATCAGGGGAACGCAAACCAGGTGAGTTCATTTTTATTCTACTTCTTATTAACTTATGTGGGGAGTGCTTGAGTGGATGTTTCGTAAGGTGGTACTTATATAAAACCCGGACTTTAGTCAACACCAAAGTTCTTTCAACATAACCTATACCGCGGTTGCGGCAGCCGAGTGGTTAGCGTTGCGTACTACCATTTGGAAGGTTCGGGTCTAGAAAATTAATTTAAATAAAAAATGAAGTTAAATTTTCTAGTTGCGGTTGCCCCTCGGCAGGAAGTCTCAACCCGTCCGAGTGTATTTCTGACATGAAAATCAGAGCACCTTATAAAAAAACCATCATACGGCTTGGTATAAACTGTAGGTCCCTCCAACAGCAAGATGGAGGAGTTCGGCCGAAAATCGCTTCAGTGGTTACAAAGCGCCAATTTTATACATGTGTGTTTCCACCGACAAAAAGGTTCTCAAGATTGACCGCCCCTCAGTAACATAGTAAACTGCGACCGAGAAGCCTTCTACCGGGAGAATGCCACCAAGCGGAAAGAAATCGATGGGAAGGGCAGTCCATCGGTGGCAATGAGGATATCTTTATTCATGTGACTAAGAGCGGAGAACCGGGTTCTTCTGTAGCCATCTCAAAAACCAAGGTAGCTTCAAACTTCATGACTACAACTCTGTCTTTCAAGCAAAGATTATGGCATTACTGTAAAACTATTACGTTACTGGGAGACAACAAAGCGGCAATGAAATGTGTAAACACAAAGTTCAAATGTTTGAGAACGTGCAAAGACTATCGCGGTGAGACATTCAACCAGATCACCCGAAAACAGAGGGCAGTGAAAAGGCGAACGAATTGGCTCGCTGCTTTCCGGGCAGTCATCATCGATAGTCTCGGACCTTTCAGCGTATTCAAATGTTATCTAAAGCAATGGCTTGGAGGAACACTTATGGTTCTGAAACACGTGGACTGGACTAAAGCGAAATCTTCACTCCTTCTGTTCAGGTTCTCAACCTCTGCTTACAATTATGTAACCTTTCACCAGTTACTCCAGCCCCTTCGTCATCAATATATATATATATATATATATATATATATATATATGATTGCCGCTTTGTAACTGGCCGAGCTCCTGCGTCTTGCTGTTGGAGAGACCTACAGTTTATACCAAGCCGCCTCTGATGGTTTTCTATGAGGAGCTTTTATTTCATGTCATGAATATACTTGGAAGGGTTGACATTCCATGCCGAGGGCGACATGTTCAAATGTAAGTAAGACATCTATACTTTCCGAAATATGAAGTCACAGCATTAGTAAATTATTTTTCGTTGAGGGAGCGGTTTGACGATTGGAGACGAGGTCAGCTTCTCGGCATCACTCGCCTCTGCTGTAGTTGCTCACGGTAGGCATCGGTGGAATGCCGATGGAGTGCCTTGATATAACGGACTGTGTTTGTCAGATAAAATCCAACAAACCTGTTGTCACTACTACTCATGATCAGCCAATGCGCTGCCACAGCCGGTTCATTAGTAATACTACAAACCCCATCAGCGGGTTGTCTGATCGCAGCCAACTTTCATGCGTTCCTAGCATTACATGTGCTGACTCCAACACTCTTAATTTTAATTCTTTTCAGTTAAATTTTGAGAGATCATTGTTAGAATCACCCTTCCCGAGTAGTGGACACTTTGGAACAGCGCTCAGCAAGTTGGGTGACATTAACAAAGATGGATATAAGGGTAAGTTCGCTGTTTGTAAATGCATAAATTTTTATATTCACCATTTGTATCTTTTATCCGTTTTTGCGCTTGAAAAGATGTTGCCATTAGCGCTCCATTCGCCGGTTCGCAACGCCATGGTGCTGTTGCCATTTATTTTGGCGGTCCAAATGGTCTCGAAACTCAACCCAGGCAGATACTGAACGTGAGTGTTGATTATCTCGGTACCGGAGGGGAAGGTTTCTTTGGTCAAGCCCTCTCCAAAGGTGTTGATATTGATGGCAATGATTATAACGATCTGGCTGTTGGTGCACCAAATGCGGATAAAGTCTTCATCTATCGTACATATCCGGTGGTGAAAATAAATGCAACCATGGAACCGCGAAATTTAATTATTCCCACGAATGAGACTTTGTTAAGGCTTGAGTTTTGCATTAATATATTGTCAAACTCGACGAAAGTTAAAAAACAGGATATTTCAGTTGACTTGAGTGCCGGCGATAAGGAAGAGCGTATCAATGTCACACACTGCTTTCGTGACGAGCTACTCAGTGCGGATTTCGAGTCAAAATGCTACATTTGCAACGCCCCCCTCAAATACGATGAACGTTTTATGTTTGTGCCAATAATTTTGGAGCTTTCGTATCGCCTAAAAAATGATGGGAGTAGGCTTAACAGTTCTGGTAAGTCAGAATGTGCAGGACCACAAAGATTTTTGCATGCGTTGGGTATGGATAAAAAATAAGTTATATTGAATCTTGACTGGTTTTTAAAATAATCAATCTTCGCGGCTCGTAAATCGCGTGATATTTATTCCGCGACCCCAAAAAACTTTTTCGGTACTCACCCATCAAGAATCTTTGGTCAAGGTTCCAAGGAAATGTTGGTGGGCAATTATTTATTTAATCTATTTTGCAGAATTTTGTGAGGACTGTGCGATAGTAGATCCTGGTTGGCCTAGTTTGGCGCAGTCTCACATACAATATCTACACAATTGCCAAGGTTCGGTTTGCAATGTGGATTTACGGTTGCAAAGTGTGAATATGCCGTAAGTAGCTTTTTCTTCAGGTTAAATTTATTTTATTTAAATTTATTTTTAATTGAATAAATTTTCTTAAAATAACATAATTTAATTTTAGTTTAATTTTATTTAAATAAATTTATATTTACTGAATTTAACTCGAATAAAATTTATTTTATTTAACTAAGTTTGCATCAAAATAATATGTTTGATTTTTTATTATTATTTTTTTATATTTATATTTATTTATATTATAAATAAATGTTTTTTTTAATTTACTTTGTTTTTAATTTAAATTAAACTAATTATGTTTATTTCAAAATAATTTAATTAATTTAAGTTTAATTACTTTATTTTATTTTTATGTTATTTAATAAAAAATTTTTATTTTTATTTTTTTTTTGGCTTATATTGTTATAATTAAAATCATTAAATTTGTTGTTTATGTTTTATTTATAACTGTTTATTTTATTATATTACATTTTGTAAATTAATTTAATTGTTTTAAATTAATTTTTACATTATTCTATTATCTTTAATATCTATTTCATTTTTTTTATTACGTTTTCACTGTTCCATTTTTATTGAATTAAAATTTTAATTTTATTATTTATTATTAATTTTTATAAATCAATTATTATTATTGTGTACTATGTTTTTATTTAAACTTTTTTTAAATCATACTTTTTTCCTTTATTTGTATTTTTTTTTTTTAAATTATTAATTTCAACTTCATATTATTTTTTTATTTGTTATCTTATTTATATTATCTTCCTTTACTTTATTTTATTTTATGGCATTTGATCTTATTTTTTTTTTATATTTCATTTTACTTTATATTATTATATATTATTTCATTTTATTTATTTCAATTTATTTTACTTTTATTTTATTTTATATTAGGTTATTTTATTTTCTTTCATTTCGCTTGTATTAATTTAATTTAATTTTTAAATTAAATTTTATATCATTTTTAATATTTGTTTTATCTTATTTGATTTTATTTTTTTATTTAATTTAATTTTTTTTATTATATTTTATTTTATTTAAAATTATTTAATTTATTTTAATTAATTTCTATTTTATTTGTTTCTATTTTATTTGGTTCTTCTATTTTATTCTACATATTTAATTTAATTTTATTTTTTCTTTTATATTATTTCTTTTTGTTTTATTTTTCGTTGTATTTTTTTAATTTTTTTTTATTTTTTTTATTTTTTTTATTTCACTCTGTTTTATATTCAATTTATTTCATTTTTATTACTTTATTTAGTTTTTATATTACATTATTTGATTTTGTTTTATATTATATCATTTTATTTTGTTTAAGATAATTTTACTTTATTTAATTTATTTATAGTATTTTATTTTATTTTATTTATATTAATTTTTGTATTGTTATTGTAATTTTTCTTAAGCAAATCTCTAACACTCGGCACCGATAAAATCCTACCACTCCGTTATAACATCACCAATGTGGGCGAGGAAGCTTACTACACCATGCTCACCATTACGTTTTCCATAAATGTTCCCTTCGCCAAAATGCCTGCAGAATGTGTTCAAGACTTCGATTATGGTATGACAGTTAAATGCAATTTAGCGAAAAGAAGAGCTTTTACAAACGCCACCGTCGTGGAGCTAAGTCTCGACTTGAGTAATGTGGTTGGTTATACGGTTTTGAATATCAGTGCATCGGTTTTCAGTACAGGAGTTGAACAGCGTCCAGCCGACAATGAGGTATTCGATCAAATAACGTTATTTACGAGCGCCGAGATTTGGGTAACTGAGTAAGTTTTTACTGACGGAAATTTTTATTCTGAACACACGACTTATAATATCTACATTCAAGGACATCATCAAATAAAATCGCTTCTGTAACTGATGACCACCAAATCATGCCGGTTTCGACGAGTTTTGAGGTGAACTCTTTTGAAATGTTTTAGTTATTATTCACTAAGCTTTTTTTTTTTAACATTCCATTGCAGATACAAAACGCCGGCCCAAGCCCATTGAGTTTCTATCATTTAGTCATCGATTTCCCTATCGGTTATGATGATACCAAATATATTAGCAATTACTCAGCGCAAGCTCTCTTTAAGGGGCTTGAGTATCCCATTTCAGAGTTTGTTACATCAGCGCCCGTTTCATCGCCAACTTTGAATAACAGCGAAATTTTACACCAAAATCATATACTCGGAAATCACACTACCATTCTGATTTGTGAAATAAATGAGGAATCTAAATTGAAAATGTTATGCGCTCAGAGCGATATACAATTGCCAAAGGTATTATTCGCTGGTGAAAACTTAACTTTGGTACTAAACTTTGATTTGAATTGGGAAAACGTTGGAGAAGCGTTGTTGAGCCAAGCACATGAGTATTTGGCTCATATCGCGCGAGTGAGTTTGAAGTCGAACACACCAGTAAACGGGTGAGAACCATGGGAAAAATACAATTTGTGCTGTAAAGAGACTTACCCATTAATTTAATTATCCTTTCTTAATATAGAAAACTTAACGTGAAACACCACTATAAAGGCTCAGTATTCATGAAGATCAGTAAACGTAACGCTCTCTGGATTTATATAAGTGCCATTATTGGTGGTATACTCTTACTTGTTGCTGTTGTTTTGCTTCTACGGAGAGTAAGAAATTTAATTTTTTAAGGGCTTTTGTAGAGGACACGCTGAGAGGCGCGACAAACTGAGCCGAGCACAAAGCTGATAACGCGGAAAAGACTCATTCCGCTGATAAATTAGAATTGAAGCCGAGAGTAAAGTTAACCAAAGCGATAAAAACAGTTTCGAAGTATGGTATACCAAATTTTGATCAGCACGGTTTTGAACAGCTTTGCGCTCGGTTCTGCTTTCAGCGTGGGCACTGCAAATGTGGTATAAGAGATAATATCTCTCAAACACATAATGGAAATTTAACAACTCCTCTGCTATCTGTTTTTCAAATGCATATCATCAGTGTATACTGCCGCGTTCGGAAGGCCAAGGTTCGAGTTTTGGTTCGATAAACATCCAAAATTATATAAAATGCGGTTGCCACTCGACAGTGTTGTGTACTTCCGACGTGAAATAAAGACTCTTCAAAAACCCAAAAAAAAAAAAAAAAAAACAAAAAAAAAACATCAGCCGTTTGGAGGCGACTTAGAATAGGCAGTAGATCCCTCCGTTTGTTGCAAGAGCATCAAGACGAAAACCACGAAATTGAGAACCGATCATCGTATGCAAGTTCAAAGTTCAAGAAGTAAAGAAAGGACCAGTCTTCGGAGTGCCAGCCTTTTATTTGGCCACAGTATAGTATAGTCCAAATATTTTTGAGACGGTGGGCAAGAAAAGCTTTCAAGGAAAAGTCAAAACTAACGCATATTTGTTTCTTATAATGAGCTCTTCCGCTTTTTAAAAACGCCAGCAGAAACGGTATGTTAAAATTTTAGGTCTATATCGGAAGCGAATCACATAATGATTTAATGGGGCATGCCACCAGTGACAGTGATCAGTTTTGAAGAAGAAATTTCCAGTGAATTTAGTGAAATATAAAAAATCTTATCTTATCTTTTTAAATTAGATCATAAGCTCCGTCTTAATCTTCCCGTATTCCTTCCTTGTCCAGTCCTTCTATTGCATAATGATTAGCTTTTATTTATTGGTTCTATTATGGAGCAGGATCTTCGACTAACTTGATAACTGTTTAATTTATAGTCATATAATTAGGAGTAGGGCTTACCAACTCACATTACCTGCCTCCCGATAGTTGTAGGTTAGTGGCATAAAGTGATCGTGGTCTCAACCATATTAGAAGACATAAAATCAGAGTAAGGAACTGCCTTTCCGGAATGGGCCGCTGTTTGCCGTAAGCTATCGGCGGAGTTGTCTAAAAGGGAGTAGCCTTCGTATAACAGCCTCAGACAAGATAAGAGTTTACTAAGAACTCCTAGGAATAATATTTCTTGAAGTACCTGTGTAAATGATCGCTGCAAGTTATGATCATAAATTTTACAACTGTAATCTTCAATGGAAAAAATAAGAAAAAATATGGTTGTTAGTTTAAAGGAAACGATTTTCCAAAAAGAGATAATCAAAAATCTTTTCGGAGTCAGATTTAAGTGATAAGTCGCTCAGTTCATGGAAAGGAGGAGAGGAAAAGGTCTTCGACTCTCTACTCCAGAGTGAGTCCTTAAAAGGCATTGTGCATTTACGATTGTAGTGAATGACTAACCTTTTGCCACTATTTTTTAAACTCAAATTGTCAGAAATGCCTCAGTTGAAGTTTACAATTATTTTCTCACTTTCAGTATGGTTTCTTCAAACGTCTAACAAAGGAAGAAATGGAAAAGAATTTCAACGAGAAACAAGAAAAGGCTCGCATGAAGGAAGATCTCGATGTTTGTGTCGCCGAAATAGAAGAAGAAAAAACGGCGAGTTCTTGAGTGGACACAACTGACACAAAGCAATTAGTTAATAATAATTTTATTAAGTTTAATAAATAATTAAATACTTTTAACAATCAATTTAGTGAACAATTTGAGCATAAAATAAAGAAGTCTTCCAAATTTATGCGAACTAATTTTTCATCGGCATTTGCATTCAAAGACGGGTGCCCAATGCTAACAACGGTTAGAGTAAAAGCTGTGGCAAGCGTTAATGAAACTGTCTCGAGGTCTGATCATATGGAGGTCCTGAAAAATATGCACTTTACCATCTCCATCCGGGGTGACATGGCTGGCGACTTCATTATGGCTTGTTCGAAGGGTGATGGAAAATACGATGGAAGCGATTTTCTGCCGGGAACTACCAATCAGCTCCAGACTCATACATTTGGGGCATTACAGCATTTTTCAAGGGGAAAATATTACGATTAGGATTTTTCTTTTATTTTTGTATTTCCGATAAGACTGATTTGAATACCAGGAGACTTCATTAATTTAGAAACGACAAAAATGTTGAGCTACCTTGATTTTAATAATACTTGACAGAGAATGGATAGATTTTTCAGCTGTACACATTTTTTGACTGAGTTGTTTTAGAATCGTTGAGTGCTATCTTCAATAACAGACTGATTCAGTGCTTTGAACTTAGTTTAACTAAAAATATTGAGATTTTCTTAAGAAGTAGATAATCTATTATGTTGCCGATATGGCCTATCGGGGTTCATTGGAACTTAATCTTCCTCTTAATATTCTTCAACCCCAAAATTGTGGACTCATGCGATTTATCTATTGTAAGAGTAATACAAAAGATACAAAATGAAATAACAGCTTCATTCTTTCTTTGTTTATTTTCCAGGTTTTCTTGTTCTTTACATTTTTACAAATTTTTTTACATAACATACATACAATTTACAATTTAATACACATACATACATCCAATAAATTTTTATAATTTTTATACAATGAAAATGTGTTTGAGGAAAATATATGCATTTCTTTTACTTTTTCCCCAAATTTTATTTTATTTAATTCTAATTTAATTCATAATTACTTATTCCATATTTTATTCTATTTCTATATATAAAATTTTAGGTCATCTTTTATTATTTTTAATTTTGTTTACTTCCATTAAATTTTTTTAGATTTTATTTTTTTTCATTTTATTTTATTTTGATTAATTTTTTATTTTAGTTTATATTATTTTATTTATTGCATTTTATTATATTTTGTTTCATTTTACTTTATTCTTTTTTATATTAAATTATTTTGTTTTATTTATAATTTTTTTATTTTACTTTTTTCATTCACTTTATTTTATTTTGTTTAATTTTATTTCATTTAATTGAAGTTTTTTTTATTTCAATTTGTATTATATTATTTTAGTAATTTTTTCTTTATTTTATTTTATTTTATTTTAACTCATTTTATGTTATTCAATTTTATTTCATTATATTTTAATTAATTAATTTAATCTTATATTATATCATTTTATTTTGCTTTCACTCAATTCATGTTATTTAATTGAATTTACATTAATTTTATTTTAATTAAAATATTTTGTTTTATTATATTTTATATTAATTTATTCTATTTTATTTTATTTTACTTTATTCTCTTTATTTATTTGTTTTATTATATCTAATTTTTTACTTTTTATTTTATTTTATTTCATTCATTCTATTTAATTATATAATTATATATACATATAATTCAATTTTTATTTTATTTTACTTTTTATTTTATTTTACTCTTTCATTTTATTTTATGTTTTTATTAATTTATTTTTTATTGTTTTGTTATTTTATTATATTTTGTTTTATTTTGTTTTATTAAATTTTTCATTATCTTAATCTATTTTATTTTGTTTTAACTCGTTTTATGTTATTTAATTTAATTTAATTTCATTAATTTTTTTTTTGTTTTATGTTATTTGACTTTGTTTTACTTTATTCTATTCTATTTTATTTAATTTTTTTTTATATAATTTTATTTTATTTTATTTTACTTTATTTTAATTAAATTTTTTGTTTTTCTATGTTTAATTTAATCTTTTTATTACTTTTCATTTTAAATAATTATGCTACAAATAATTCAATTTTAATTTTATTTTCCTTTTTCATTTTATTTTATTTTTTTTATTAACTTTTTTTCTTTTGTTTTGTTTTATTTAATTTCATTTAAATTATTTTATTTTATTTAATTAAATTTTTCTTTAATTTAATTTAAATTATATTTTATTTCATTTTACTTTATTTAATTTATTTTAATTTATTTTATTTTATTATATTTTAATTACCTTATTTTATTTTATTTTACTGTATCCTATTTTATTTTCTTTTACTTTATTTTATTTTAATTCATTCAATGTGATTAAATTTTTTTAATTAAATATTTTTTTATCTTTTTTATTTTTATGATTTTCTGTGCTCAAATTATTATTTTTTTATTACTTTATATTTTATTTTATTTTGTTCATTTTATTTCGTTATATTTTATATTATTCGTTTTTCTATTTTATTTTACTTTTTTATTTTAATTAATTTTTTCATAATTTTTTACTTTTATTCTATAATGTTTTATTTTATTGATTATTATTATTTTTTTATTTATTTTATATTATATAAATTTTTTATTTTATTTTACGTTTAATTTTTGAGTTAATTTCATTGTATATTATTATTATTTATTTTTTTTTTGAAATATTTAAATTTTTTTTTATATATTACAGATTTTTATACTTTGCCAATCTTTGTTGCTTTTGCTTTTAATGTAAAGCAAGTATGTATATCGTTGACTAATGTAAAATTTTATTTTACCTAACTATGCGTACATACATAAGTATATATAAATTATAAACATACATGCATAAGTGTGGATACATACGAGTATATCTATGTCGGTTAATAGCGCCTTTTTTTACAGTACTTTCATATTTCTATTATGATAACGGTTTGATTACAAATATAAGTACATATATGTATGTATATGTCTTCTTTTCCTTAATGTTGTGTGTAGTTGGTGAAGGTTTTTTAGTTCTATACATATTTACCAGATTGTGTACACTGTTAAGAAAACACATTTACAGCTGCATACATATGATTTAAGTTGACGACGACACATACATATAAACAACTTTGAGTCCTGATATGTGTGTAGTACAGGTAAATATATTTGCATTAACAGGTATGTTCATTGATTGGTGGATATGTGTAGTTATTAATTTGTGAATCTTAGGTACATACGTTTTTAATAGCATACCACATACCTATATACAACTTTATTAATCTCCAAATTAAAATATTTTCAGTAAACTTATAGAAGTTTTTTTTTTACAAATAACTGTCTAAAACATAATGTATTGGGATTTCATTCTCAGTATTGTAAATAAAAGTATGATGAACGTAAAAAGACCGCCCATTGACGAGCATTTACGTGTATATTATATTCTAACCGCAAAGGATATGCCAATTTGAACGCCATGATTTATATAAAGCACTTAAAAATGTATATTATCTTTTAACTTTTTAAGACTTGAATACAAAAATTTTAAAAATTAAAAATGTATATTATCTTTTAACATTTTAAGATTTAAATTCAAAAATTTTCGACAACGATATGCTGATCAGAGCGATAGATGTACGATACCCGGCACAAGCCGTGATACCTTCATCTGATATACAGGAAGCGCTCGTCGGCACTACCGCAATATGAAGCCGGCGAACGAGCAAATAGACTACAGGGAAACTACGGTTATGGCATTGAACCATTCCTGCTACCATCAAACAGGGACCCACAGTATAACATTCAATAGGACACAATTCATCCTGTTCAATATTCAATGAATAATAAGTGTAAGCCGTCAGAGGACTAGTAATATTGACAAGAAGTATTGACAATAGTTGAAGCTCTTAAGGAATAGAGAGTTTATCAGTTGAGTTTGAAAACCGTCACGGATTGTAAGAGTGTCTAAGAAGGCTAAGAAAAATAACTTTTTAAATGTCTATTTGCAACACAAAAATCCAATAACGGAGCTTAAGTTGTTAGAGCTACCAGGAATCGAAAATAATTGAAGAGAGACTGTTGAACCAAAAGTCTATTACTGTCTGGTGCGATCTTTGGCCCAAAGTTGTAATTAGTACTATCTTCTTTCAAAACAGCAACGGCGAAACTGTCACTGTCAATTTGGTGTCAAGTGACAAATGACTTTTTTTGATAGAAGTTTCCGGCCATGTAATCTTTCGCCTTGGCTTGTCAATCGGTCGCAGAGATCGTGCAACTTGACACCGTTGGACATTTTTTATGAGGGCTTTGCGAAGGACCATATTTATGCGGATAAACCATTATCTCTAGAGCGCTAGAAAGCCAACTGTCGTCAAGTTATGGCTAAGTTACCGACCAATATGTGCCAAAAATGGTCGAAAATTACCTGAAATGGATCGGGGTTTACAAAAATTCATGAGTCGGATATTTAAATACTGTAGTGTTTCACAAATATATAAGGCCAAGATTTAAACGTTGTAATAAAAAACGAGTTCCCTGAAAAAAAAAATGATTTTATATGCATTTTATTTATGCCTTTTTTGAGACCGGAAAAGGGATAATCTTTTACAATCGGTACTTTGTTGCCGCTGAAGCGATTTTCGGCCTATATGTATGAACACAAAGAGGCCTTTATTCCAGTAAGGGGTTTACTGGGTTGATTACTCTCTGATTATGAACATCAATCAAACATATGTCCGATATGCTATAATATTTGCAGGTCAAACTTTGAATGCACTTCAAAGGCACAACAATGTGTGACTAGGGCCTTCTAGTAGGTAATAAAGTTTTATATAAATACATATGCCTGCATACATTTTCGAAATTCTCAAAAACTGTATTTCCGACATAGAAAGAAAATAAAAAATAAAAAATTTAAAGAATTTAATAATACACTTATAAGCAGGCGAATTTGGCAAGGTGAAGTTACTATCGCGGCGAACTCAATTTTTTTTAATTAATTAATTCGCTTCAGTGCGAAGGCTGTCAAAATGTTCGTTTATGTTTTGATTTTCATTTAATTTGAATTTCTAATTGATTAAGTGAAAATTTTTAAAATATATTTTTTTTTTTTGCAAATAAGGATTATGAACCGTTGTTGAGTTGAGTAGATACGGCTATTAATCAACGCACGTACGCTAATAGTACCGTTATAAATGGTGATTTTTTAAAAGCTATAGAAAAGTTTTTCAAAAAAACACATAAAATTCAGAAAAATTCATGAAATATATATGTATTTGCATCGATAGTACGTCCATATTATTTAAGGTTTGAAGATTATTTCAAACAAATGTTGAGCGTAACTGCGCCTATAAAGGTCCATCCAGTTAGTCCAATTTTGGCATTCTATTTCTAACATTTCGGCCAGTATCTCACAAATAAATGCTTCAATGTTGTCCTCCAATTAAAGTGGGCTTTTCTGCATAGATATTAGACTTAACATAGTCCCACAAAAAATAGCTGAATGGTCACGTTGCACATGATCTCCCTCAACGGCCAAGCTTAGCATATACTTTGCCGAGGCAAAGGTAAACCTTCATCCTGTGCATGGCTTATTGCGGATAGAAGGGTTCCTACCGTGCAATAGCTTTGAGATTATATTGTTTCTGGGCGCCACTTTTGATGTGGTACTGTTACCCTGTAGATATCTACTTGCTAATTGACTATCGGAATATATCGTAACTGATAATTCTGCTACCGGCTTCCCTGATTGCAAACAGTTTTGCTTGGAAGATGCTGTAGTGGCCTGGTAATTTCATGCCAATGTTTATTGAGAGCCCGCTTTTTCAACGCTTTGAGCCATCTGTAAAGATCGGTATGGCTCCTCGATCGAGGGTATTTTTTCCCGTTCGTTGCTGTTTGAGATTCTTGTTTGAAGAGATTGTTGAAGCGATCCGTTGTGTTCTGTATGTACATACATATGTTGAACAGGCAGATCGATAGTTTTTCCAAGCTTCACAAGGTGAAGGCTCTAGATATTTCTGGATTCGTGTTGGCCAAAGAATTTGAAAATTACCTTTATATTATGGATAAATCTTATTTATTCTTCCAATATTTACTTTGAATAAATAATAATTTTAATCAATTACATACATATACATATACACTACAACAGCCAACACAGCACTACAAAAATTAAAGAAGTGCAGTAATTCTAGTAATCTCTTAAGATCACAACAATTATAGTACAGTTATTTGTTCTCCTGCTCTCACCTTTATGAATTCGCCTTGCTTATAAGTGCATATGCAAGGTTTATAGAATACAAGGTTACGGCAAGAGCGAAATCATGTGTTGAATGACGAAGTTGGTTCAATTTTGTGGGTTGCCGAAGATTTTAAAATAAATTTTCATTATTTTATGTAATAAAAAAACGTAACATTTTGACTATAAAATTCTAAAGCCTGGAATTAAATTTGTTTTAAATTAGTAAATTTAAAACGTTCTGAATAGTTTCATGTCGCTAAAGTATATTTTACGGTTAAAAAATGTTTAAATTACAAATATTGATATTATTTTTTAACAAAAATGTCTACAGCTGGCAACTCTAACTTTTGTTGTCATGTAATATGAATGGCATGAGAAACTAAAGTCAAAAACGTTAAAAATTAACAAAATCCAAAGCGAACACGCAATTTTATAAAATATTAAAAAAAAAATCCGATTTTCGCAAAATTTCTTTGTCTGCTAAAGAGCTTTTGGGAAATGGTATGGATCATTCATTTCTTGTAAAAAAAATTGTATTTTAAAATTCGAAGTGGTGAAAAAGTGTGCAATGGGGAACTTGTAGCCATAAATTTGAAAAAATTTGTGAGTGATTTGTATTGAAATTTTTTGGAAAATTAAAAAAAAAAAACATGAGATATTGTAGAATATTCCTTTACGGATTAAATGATACAATTGGTTGGGCTGAAAACTTGCAGTTTTGGCATTAGGGGGGAACCTGATTTAGAACGCTGAAAATTGCGTGATATTCGGCACAGTGTTTTAGGTTGCCTTACGTATGAAATGTTTCATGTACTTTGGAAAAAGGTCATAGATAAATCTTGCAAAAAATATTTACTTTCACTTTATTTGATACCGTTAAGCAAAAGCAATTCGTATTTGTTTGTGGCATTTCTCGCTCGAAGAGTCTATTTTGTGAAACATCATCTGAAACATAAAAACGAATAAGTTTTTTGTAGCTTAGGAGTTGCTCTTCTATGCGAATCTAAGATATTCGAAGAAATGTATAAAATTATTTATTTTATGACTGTTTATAAAAAATTTTCCGCTCTTCCTAAGAAATTTTAAGATAATTTATTGAAATTTATTTTTATTTGATTTTTTAGGTTCACATAGAAGCCTACACTATTAGCTGTAAAAAAAAAGTATCACTCATGAAAATGCAACAATTACAACTTGTTTAATCGTATGCACAAAACAGAAAACCACTGTTTTGAGAAAATCGCGTTCAAAGTTCTCGCGCCCGCTTATCAGTCTCCTGAGCGCATTGTCTCTCAGAGGCCATTTCTGCGGAACGATTAGGAATTTGACTCTGAAATTTTGTGGAAACATTTCTAAATATATTTCTAATCGAACGAGATAAGTTTCAAAAAATCGATTTTTTTGACCCGCTAAACAAGGGTCCCCCTTAAGCAAACTTAAATTCATCGGATAGTGAACAATAGGAATTTTCTGCAGGAATGAAATATTGAATACGTATTAAATTTTAATGTGTAATTATTTGGTGGTATTCGGCCACCTTGCCATCGATTTGATCAGAACCTTGTACAGTCAAATGAGTGACTGCGGTGTCTTCAGTACATAAAATAAAAATAAAAATAAAAATAAAAATAAAAAATATAATTTGTGTTTCCTTCTGTATAAGAAATTTTTACCATATTTAAATGCATAATCATATGTGAAAAAAAAAAATTCTTCACATTATATAATATCAAATCCCGCCCACTGTATATATGACGAGGTTGGTCAACGATTGTAGTAACCTTCTATTCTATAAACCTTGGTGCTTATGTATGTACGAAGTTGGTCGAAATAATTAATTATGGCAGACATTAAAATTTAATTTTTACAATAATTCTTTATCAAGTTTATTTTCATTTCCAAGCATTTCTAATATTATAAATATTTTCACAAACTCAGAATCTTTGCATAGTTATTATTGTGTTAAACAATTTGTTTACTTAATTTACATATTTATGATATTTATTTTATTAATTTATATTATTTATTTCTATTAATAAATGTGAACATCAATAATATGCATACATACACATGCACATACAGTTATAAAAATAATTATGGTATTGTCAAATATACTTCAATTTTAGTATACACATACATATATATACTCATACACATGTACATATACGTAGTATGTTGCATGGTTTTTTGAATACATAAATTCACATGAATTTATACATTTGCATACATAGTATATCTTATGATTTACAGTATTTATCTATTAAAATTAGCTTCTTTCTAACTTTATTTTGCACTACAAATTTGCGCAATGACAATGGCCGTCGAATTAGCGTTTGACTTATTTAACTGTACTTTTCTATTTCTCTGGATATGCTAGCTTTTTTTTTGTTATTTTTTTTTTTTTTTTTATTTATTATTTATTATTTATTATTTATTAAATGAATCTTTGTCTCATGCAAATTCATATTTATGTTTGTACTTCATAGCATTAATAATGCAAAAAATTGTTTGTATTTTTTTGTTGTCAAGGTAACGTGTTCATCTTAATTACGGGATAATTAATTCAATGCTTTGCGCTTAATTAATTTATTGTATTTTAATGAATTTCTTTGAGTTTTTGTGATTCTTTTTATGGTATAAAAGCGGTCCGAGAAAATTCTGGTGCAGATATTTCTTGCCATTTTGCGCATGCAAATTTTATACCATATTTTTTGCATATTCCCAATAACAAAATTTAATGTGTATATACATATATATTATATATATATTTTATTTCATAAAATAATTTTTTTATTGGGGTATATATGAAATTTTCCATTTTCTTACTTCATAAAATTATGGATTATTACAAGGTTCGCTTCCTGGTTCAAGAAAAACACAGATGTGGTTTGACCAGCGCAGTCTCGCACTGACAGCAGAAAAAGCCGTGTTGTTGCTATTAACAATGAAACACATCCCTCTAGAAATACATATATGTGCACACAATTTCAAATACCCTGAGGTCAGGCAGAGTTGTTAATTATCTGGATGTAAGACCAGACTCCAGACTGTACTATTAGGTTTAAATCCGTCACGTTGCTGTTGAAGCCTCCAAAGTCTCTTCTCAGCTTAGTGGACTGATGACTAATATAATATATTAGGTCCGACTCAAGAAAAAAAGGCAGCCTATGATTGTGAAAATCCTCAGCATCTTACTGTACGAAGCCGAGCCATGGATGAACTCACTTAATAAGAATAATAGGCGAATGGTATTGGCCAAAGTATATCGTTGTTGTCCGTTTAGGGGCAAGTTTAAAATTAATCTCAGTCATCGAGGTCATACAAAGGGGCGTCTAGGAAACGTGCTGTTTCGACAGCATCGGACCAGAGGGAGAGGGGGTTCGATGTTTCTTCTTAAGGGGCATGTGAAGAGGTGGTTAGTGCTGTGCGGAGACTGTTCAGTATCAGGTGAAGCTATAACTGTAATAAGCCTTAGCTTGCCCACCGCCCTATTGGCAGCCGAAAACAAAAGAAACTGAATACAGAAACAATTCGAAACCATGGAAGCAATGTCAATGCAAACGGAGTGTAAAGAAAAGAAAAGAAAAGAAAAGAAAAGAAAAGAAAAGAAAAGAAAAGAAAAGAGAAGAAAAGAAAAGAAAAGAAAAGAAAAGAAAAGAAAAGAAAAGAAAAGAAAAGAAAAGGAAAGAATAGAGAAGAAAAGATAAGAAAAGAAAAGAAAAGAAAAGTAAAGAAAAGAAAAGATAAGAAAAGAAAAGAAAAGAAAAGAAAAGAAAAGAAAAGAAAAGAAAAGAAAAGAAATCCTCAATCAGTGGTAATCCCGATGGGACGCCAGATTAATAAGATACGTCAGAGTATGGACATCTATGAAATAGTCAGTCTGATCACGGATACTTCAAGAAAAATGTGTTTAAAATAGGAAAAGCAGAAGATCCGTCATGTATCAATGCCAAGGAAGGTGACGTCGGAAGTATGATCTTCAAATGCACTCGATGGCAGGATGCCTTAATCAGGATTGAAAACACAGTTGAAGAAATTAGAGTATACAAAATTATCTCGATTATTCTACAAGGTGAAGTAGATGGAAAAGTGGCATCTGGACGCAGTTAATGTGATGAAATCTCATTATGAGAAAAATGAAACGCCACTCTGAAGTTATACGAAAGGCGACGGTTCCTTAGAGGAGATTTTTTTCTGCCCCTCTGCAGCAAAGAAAAATATCCAAATTAATTTTTCTAATCGCCCCTCAGCAGTGAATGTCAAACCCTCCGAGTGTGTTTCTGACTTGTAACAAAAGCTCCTTATAAAAATCCATTGGAACCGTTCGAAGGTGGCTTGGAATAAGCTTTGAACCCCTCACTTTGTTGGAAAAACAAAAGAGAAGTACACCAAAAATTGAAGAAGGAAATCGAAAACCAGTCCAAGTCGTGTTCGTCAATTGCAGGCCAAATAATGTCGGTTACCATACGGCTATAGTGCTCTGAATCGCCACTGATAGTCTACAGGTTGTGGTTATCAAAGAAATTAGGCCCAATCTTACTTACGGACTACAAAAGCAAATGCTGGAGAAAGTAATACGAGCTGAAGAGCTGAAAAGAGAAAGTACAGTCCCCTCTAAAAGTGTACAGCTGCTGGTGTATGCCGATGATATTGACATTATTGGCCTCAACAACCGTGCGCCGTCTATATTCGTAGTTTTTTCTATTTAAAAAAAAAAAAAAAAAATAAAAAATAGAATAAAAATTAAATAAAACACAAAATGTCGTGGAACTTAATACAGGCATTTATTGAAAATTTGCGCGAATATTTGACAAAAAAAAATTTAAAATAATAATAATAATAATAATAATAATAATAATAATAATAATAATAATAATAATGTGAATATAAGTACATATAAGAAAGGGATTTGCGCCGAAAATTTGTGCTGGCAATAATGACAAGCAATAAAAAAGAATATATGATATAATATTTAATACAAGTAAGTATTTATAGTTGTAGGTATGTATTTATTTGAAAATATATGTAGTGGCAACGCTTTGTCAATGCTAAACTTTTCAATTTATATTATAATTTTTATATTTGGTTTTTTCTTTTCATTTCACCTACACGTAATTAATTTGATTTTATTTATGTATGTATGTGTTTCTGTAGTATGCTAGAGATCTTGTATTTTTGTTTAGCTTTAATTGAACACAAATTTGTCGGCTAAAAGCGAATTAGAAATATTAAATAAATATAAAATAAAACAATGTTTGAGCAAAATGGTTTTCTAATACGTTTCTTACTAATGCAGCTGCGCATATATGTATGTATGTACAATATATACAATTTTGTTATAAATATAATTATTTTATTTGATAAAACTAAGTTTTGGCATTTCTATATATATGTATATGTATATATATATATATATATATATATATATATATATACATATATTTTAAATAACAATGCAAATAAAATAACTTAAAACTATAAAAATTCCAAGTATTGCATTTAGTGAATGAGACGAAAAAGCGCAATTTATAATAAATTTTAGTAAGCATTGCAGTAAACGGTAATATTGGTTATCGTTGAGTGGCAAATAAATAAAAATAAATTTTTAATAAAAGTTTAGCAAATTGTTCAATAATTTTTAAGTGGTTTTTATGAAAGCAAATCACGAGTAGGTAGAGTTATTGACAAGTTTTGACAATTTATTTACAGCTTAATTAATATTTTTTTATAAAATCCCAATTTCAAATGCAGGAAATAATATTTAGAAATTCTCATACAAAAAATTGAGTTTATTTAGCAGAAATTTTGGCAAATTTTTTCCTATAGATCTTTGATTTACTTTTGTGCAACGATTTGATTAAATTTTTTTTTTTTTTGAAATTGATAGAAATATTACATTTGAGTTTTTTTTTGTAATGAAAAATTAAAAAATCCAAGATATTAAAATTCATGTTTTCACAAAAAGATTTACTTTTGTGCAACATATAATATTTTAATTGAGAGGATAAATTTCTATTTAATTAAAAACTTGTTTCGAAAAAGTTCATTTACAGTTATAGTTTTTTGTTTATAAATATATTTATAATTTTTTTATTTTTTATAGTTATTTTATTATTTGCAAAACAGATTGAAATTACCTCAAAAACAGCTGGACTTATGAAAATTTGTATTTTTTTTCAAATTGATTTTATTTCGGAGTATTTATGTACAATTTTCTGGAATTTTTGAATTTGAATTAATGCTCAATGAGTTTAGTAAAAGAAAATTAAAGAATTTTTAATATAAAATTTAAATTTTATTATTATAATTTTCGTGGTTTCCAAATAGTTTTATGACTTGGTATTAGAATTTTTTTATTAGTATAAATAATTCTGTATTTAAATAGATTTATGTTCAAAAAGTTTATGTACATATTATATTTCTAAAGGTTATTTTATTTAAAATTTGAATTTTCCATTTGCCGAAATAATTTGGTTCTCAAAAAGATTTATGTACTGATAACTTATTTAAAAAAAAATGTGAGAATTTTTCACTTAAATCTTAAAATTTTACTTTTTAAATATTTTTTCTAAATAATTTAAGTGGCAAATAAAATTTATATACACTTTTTTGAGAATATTTTACCTATAATTTGATTTTTTTTATTATTTCATATGATTTGGTTACCAAATAAATTAATGGCTCTGTGAATTTGTACACAAACTTTTAAATATTCTAGTCTTCTTACCAAAAATTTATGTAATTTTTTTTGAGAATTTTTCACATAATATTTGCATCTTCTTCTTACTTCAAATAATTTTTTCCAAACAGATTTATGTACAGATATTTGATATAAAAATTGTGAAAACCTTAAATTTTTTTGAAATTTCGCTTCTATTATTGAAAAATTGTTGGTTTTCAAAAAGATTAATGTGCAGAATATTTTTTATAAAATTTTAGAAAAAATTGTTTAACTAAAAATCAAAATTTTTTACAATTGTTCAAAAAAATTCGTTTTCCAAATTGTTTAATGTACCGAAATATTATTTAAACATTTTTGGGAAATTTCTATGCAAAAGGTAAATTTTTTATTACTCGAAATAATTTGGTTTTTAAAAAGACAAATGTACTAAAAAAATCTCAGTAAATGTGTATAAAGATTTTTGAATCAAAATTTTAAATATTTATTATACGAAATAATTTAGTTTCCAAAATGATTAATGTTCAGTGAATTTATATAAAAAATTGGAAAATTTTTGACTGCAAATTTGATTTTTGTTATTATTTTAAACAATTGATTACTTAATAATTATTTTTTTTTTTCATTTATGAGGAAATTTTTCGTTTTTCTACTGTATCAAAATCAAAAAGGCTGTAAAGAGAAAATGTGATTTTTTATTTTTAATAAAAGCTTATCTCAGCTGTAGGTGTTTCAATCATTTTCACTTTATTTTCGACAAACCAATATGATCTATTTTCAGAACCTTCCAATTTTTTTTTATGTATTGCGTAATAATATTTTTCAGTTGTCGATTTAAGAAAAAAATTCCAATTAATTTTTAACAAAATTTTTTATCTAATTTTTATTTCAGATTTTTATATAAATTGTCAAAACTTGTCAATAAGTTCTTGTATTAGAATTTTGAAAATCATAATAATAATCAATAAGCTAAGTATTTGCTAAAAAAAAAAAATTGTAATTAAATTCGTAGAAGTAATAGAAAGCTTACGGTAACAGAAATTTACAAATATATCTACATCCCCATAATTAAGCTTAGTTCTTCTTAGTTAGGCGTATGGCAAATGCTTTTAGGATTATTCTTTCTGTGCTTTTGATTTTCAAACACACATTCATGCGCTGTGATGGCTTCTGGTTTAAAAATTTAATACTAACATTATTAAAAGCTAACATTATTGATGTACATAGTTTTTTTTTATAATTTCTTAATTTTCTAAAATTTTTCACTTTCAAAAGTGCAACAGTTTTTCATACATTTATTTGTTTATATTTATTTATATTTATGTATTCATATCTACGTGTATGTACTCTCTTTTTATATGTTTAAGTCATCTTACATTTACCATACATACAAATATTAATTTATTAATTATGTTAATTAATTTAATTAATTATTTATTTATTTATTTACCTAAACGCTCCCTAAACGATCTACATACATATTTTTCCACTAATCAACAAACGTCGAATCACAAACATATTTATGTACAAATACAATTAAAAATACAATTACAAATACGCATTATTAAGGTAGATAAGTTTACAAAACCGTAAATAATATTTAAGAAAAACAAAAACACAAGCAATTTCTTATGCACCGCTCTTTTCTTCTCCCACCGCTTTACAAGTAGTAAATGCGTATGTTTGCATGTCCGCCGATGACCGCACCTGCCAATCAGCACATTGTCTCATTATACGGCGGATCCTTCTCCGATTCGGTGCTCGACTTGATGTTGGACGATAATTTGGCGATCTCATCTTGCACCGTGTGTGTACTTATTTGTGGGATTGTAGCTCCCGAGGGCTCTCCGCCGGCACTGGTCCCACTCTCCTTCGACTCCTCCGTGCTGGAGCTACTCTCCTTGAGTATATTCATGCCGAGCGTCTTCATGCTGCCGGGCGGTTTTAGTGAGGATAACAATTTGGCTGGCATTGCAAGCGCCGGCAGCACAGCAGTCGCACCTGTTACGCCCGTATCGGCCAGCACGCTTGCAGCTGCTGTTGCAGTTGCTGCCAATGTACTGGTCGCCGGTTGTTGTTGTTGTTGTTGTTGTTTCGCATACGGTGGCGCCAAGGTGTACGGTAGCTGCTGTGTCTGCGTCTTGCTCGCCTGATCCACGCTAAACTGCTTCTTCAACTGCATGGCACGCGGCAACGCGGACTGCACCTGCGTCATTACCGCCGCTGCAGCTGCTGCTGTGGCACTCAACTCCTTGGTGTCGGTGTGACGTTTACCACTCGCTACGTCGCTACGTTTGCCATCACCGGCGCCCATGGAGGCAGTGCGAAGCGGCTGATAACGCGCTGTGGTGTCGCCCACGCTAACGCTGTTGCCAGCTGTGTTGATTGTTGCGTTGTTGTTGTTGCTGCCACTTGAACTCTCCTGCACGGTTATTGTTGTTGGTATAGTTGATGGTAGCAGTGTGGTTTGTGTGTTCGCATCGGCGGCATCGAGTGATAATTCAGCCGCCAGCGATGGTGTATCGATGTTATAGGAACCAGTCATTGAGGTGGTTGTGTCATTTGAGCTTTGCTTGATGAATCGATATGGATGTGCTGAATAATCAGTCTCTGTGCTGGAGCCTTTCTGCAGGCTTTCGCTGGATTTCTTGAAAAGCCTGCCGGTGCTTTCGAAAGGTGCATTAAGGAATTCGCTGGCGGCACGTGTGGGCACCGCTGGTGTTTGATATGTTTGTTGCTGCTCCATTGATGAGTTGCGTTGCCAAGGTCGTTCGTTTTTCAGTTGAAAGCCGGCTGGACCTGTTGATGAGCTGGCGAATACGCCGCCACCGCCACCGCCGACACCACCACCGCTACCGGCGCCGCTCGTGTCGCTGCTATTGCCGCAACCGAGCATTCCACCGCCGGAGGGTGGCTTGGACGGCGATAATTCGATGGCAGTCTCACGGCGTAGCGGATGACGATGACTGAACTCAGCCGATATGCCGGTCTAGAAGAGAAGAAGGGATAATATTAATGTCAAACAAACAACCAAAAAAATTGAATAATAATTTGTTGTAGCCAAATCAGATTCCTACTGCTCTTTTGAAGGCTAGAGTTCGAGTCCTGGTTGAACCAAGATCTAAAACTTATGGAAGATTAATTTTTGTAATCGCTCTCGAAGCTCAGCTGGGAATGTCAAGCTCTCCGAGTGTAGTTCTGCGCATATCGACTTAGGCAAAGTGCTACATATATATACCCCAAATTTCAAGTGAATCGATAAATAATTAAGGTTCTTTCATACAGAATCGTTCCAAAAGTAAATTTTTTATTTATGTTTTAAACTAGGCAAAGGGTTATCTACATTAAGCAAAATCTAGCCATAAATACAATTTTTTTGGAATTAATTGCTCCTAGACCATTGTTCCGGAAGAAAAAAGTGTTCAAGTGGTTATTTAGGCAAAAAGCTATCTCTGTACAAAATTTCATGTATATCGTAAATCGATTTAAAAATAGATAAAATTTTTTCGAAGAGATCAGTTCAAGGTACACTTTTCGGAAAATAAACCTTTTTCAGATAACTAGGTCATATGTAGAATACAGCCCTCAACTTTCAGTTTCCTATGCTTAGTGATACAGAATGTGCGCTGATTCTACAATCATTCCGCTCAAAACCTTTTATACAAAAGGCTATTTTTAGACGTGTGGTTTTTATTGAGCCAATATTTTTGGACCGCTCCTAATTGACTCACACTCAGTTGCTCAGTCAGTCATCAGAAAAATTTCGTTCAGCGATGAAGCTCACTTTTGGTTCAATAAGGAAAGTTTTCGCATTTGGCGGGATCATAATCCATACCCACTGTCTTCCGTGGCTCAAATATCGTACGATTTAAAACCGCTGAACTACATATTTTTTGTGGGATTATGTAAGGTCGCTCGTCTAAGCAGTTAAGCACGAGACGTTCGACGCCTTGCAAGAGATTGCTCGATGCGTTATTTCTGGTATAAATATCTGCTGCAAAGTGGTCGAAAGTGACCGCCCATCTGTGCAATTACGAGTTCTCGTTTATGAACTTTAGATCTCTTTAAGCTTGCTCCTAGTTAATAATAAAAAAAAATCTAATAATATTTTTTCCTTGAATTTAGGTTTAATTTTCAGCCTGACAGGTAGGATGAAAGCACAGAAAATAGAATTCAATATGGACAAATGCCAAGCACTTCACACAGCATTTGCTGCCAAAAAAAAAACCAAATGTATGTGTTTCATTCTATTGCAATTTTTCAAAAATTCTGTCATTAATCACCAGCCACAAATGCCAGCGACACATGTGTACAAGGATTTAAGGAGAAATGCTACTGCCAAAGTGAAAATAAAGCAACTGAAAGCCAACATATTCATACACACCCATAGCAAGGAATGTCTCACTAATTAGTCGATTAGACTTTGCATTGTTGGACAACAAAACTCTATTCACATATACACGTATGTATTTTTATAGCGTTGGCATGCAACATGTGGCACAAATATTTACCTTTGCATATGGTTTGTAGATGTGTGCGTATGAAAAACGAAGAGACATTTGCAAATATTTGCACTGTAAACATGCCAACGTTCTCACATTCTACTTACTATACGCCACAGTACTCAATGAAAATGCAAAAATCAATATACTCTTTGCTTTGCATATGTATATGTATGTATGTATGTACACATACATAAGTATAAATACCGAAGAGTTACTCACCCCAAATGAATTGTCGGTGTCATCGATGGACGCACGTGCCTGGAATAAGCCTTCCAGCATCATATAATCATTCTCTTCGCACTCCTTCAAATGTTGCTTCTCCAGTAGCGCAGCAAATTCAGCCTTAGACATTTCACCCGTCGGACGGTCCAGTGATGCTGTGAGTGATTAATATCATATGGAAAAAAGAAAAAATGAAGAGATAAAAGTGTTTAGTTAAGCTAAATAAATAAAAGATTTAAATGTGAGTGATATAATGAATGGCAGAATGCATATGTATGGGTTTCAATATGCTCCCAACGAGCGAGAGAGAGAGAGAGAGGGAGTAGATACATAAATCAGTTCGGCCCGGTTTTTTGTGTCCTCATCTCTCAGGGAATTTTCGGGAACAAACTCTAAAAGTCGAGCCCTCTCTGCCCTCGATCCAATCATTGAGCAAAGGGTAGTCGGAAGGAGCAATATCTGGAGAATATGGCGGGTGAGATAAGACCTCCCAATTCAGTATTTCCAAGTGATTTTTTGACCATGACAGTCACGTAATGTGGAGCGTTGTCATATTGCAAAATCTACTTGCCACGTCTTTCAGTCCTATCTGACTGTTTTTCATGCAATACACGGCTCAAAGGCATTAGTTGTAGCCGAAAAGGTTTTGCATTAATGGTTTCGATTGGTTTAAGAAGATCAAGCTAGACGACACTCGTCTGGTGGCTCCATATGCATGACCTTTGAAACGTTGGTTTTTTCTCTTAAGCGTCGCTGTAGATGATGATGGAACGGGTTCACCAGGCCTGACATTGCAATTGTTCTCCTTGTATTTATTATGGTTCACTTTCGATTTCAGTCAAACTACGGTGCAATAATCTCTTCCTTTGATGTCGTTCAAGTAGCAGTTCCGAGGCAAAAAATCGTCTTTCGACATCTAAGGGCAACAACTTGCGCACGCGATTCCATGCTTTCGAATAAATACAAATTGCTTTAAACTAACGAAGACTGTTTGTTGAATCACTACCACCGATTTTGCGAGTTTAGTTCGTGTTTAGCACCGATCTTGCTCTAGTAAAGCCGTCAGTTCCAGATCTGCAAACTCTTTGGGTTGCTTATTGGCTTCGAGGCAAAAAGCTTTATTTTTAAAGGAGTTAGACTAGGCTCTGTGTGACTTATCGTTCGGCGAATCACCATAAACACTTCCACATGTTTTCGAAGGCCTCCTCCGCACTTTTCTTCCATTGAAAATTGAAAATCAAAACTTTCCGCAAACGTTGTTTTTTTTTTACAAAAATTCGCACATTTCCGAAAAAGCAAAAAACAATATTGTTATCAGAAAGAGACGCTGATGCACACTTATCATTATTAACAGATATAAAAACTTTCCAGTGAAATCGTTTCAAAGCAAAGCCGCCACTTGCAGGTGGAGCCATCTTTTGATAATAATCGGGAAAACTTTGGTCACTTTTGAATTAAATACGCCCGAATGACCAAAGATTTGAAAAAGATTCTTATAGCCTAAAATTCGAATAACTCGCGAGAGGAGACTCTCACTACAAGCTCGCCGATCTATCATTGCGAAGTATCGACTCCATAGTAGCGTTAAAGAAAACGAACCCATCTGAAGCTCAATACGAGTTCGTTGTGTTTATTGGGATAGCAGATATAGTGGAATTTATTCAAGTTGAGCACTAATGGATTTGCGTGTTTTACTTTCCTTTTTACATTGCTTTGCTAATGCGTCCTTCATTCCCAGTTTGATTAATATTTTATGTAGTTGCATTAATTTGTTTGGATATTTAATTTGATTACTAACATGTCCACATACATGACAATATGTCATGCAAATATATTTAAAGGTGTGTTCAAAAAATAGCAAGGAGTTGAAAATTTCGCACAAATTTGGAGAGATCCCTTTTGAGGAAGATTTCCTTTATGTCCTTTTTATGATATAATAGACGACATAGGTGTTAGTTCTACTTCGGTTATTAGCCTCTCCTTCTCACCTAATATTCGTATTTGACATATTCGCCACAATATATTTAAGAACAAATACTCGCTTTGAAATATGTTATAGACGTTTTTTCTCTACCCAGTTCCCATAATAGATTAGTAAAATCAAAAATCAAGGTAACAGAGAGACGGAAATAGTAAAAGTAATCCGATATGTCCCACCGGTTAGATACCGATTGCCCGGTTAGAGCCGAGTTAACCATAGTGCACCAGTGCATTTCGCTTCTTCGTCCAGTCTGGAGAAGCGGTTGTTAAGGCCAATGAAGTGAATATCAGTGCCGTACGCCAGCTGCTGTACACTCTCATAAAAGATAAAACTTTCGCTATTAAGCTCTGCAGCTCGTATCATTTGCTCTAGCATTCGAGATATCGAAGCCAGCTTTAAAATCTGTGTGTGGCGATTCGCCTTACAAGCTTCTTTCCTAAGCTTTAGCGCTTGGTTAATATCCGATCAATACTGCATTTACCAGATCTAAAGTCACACTGATAAGGTTCAATTCGTTTCTCGACTATGGGATGTGGTTGGTATACCACGATAATTGGCGCAGACTGGGTTAGTTTTTTATGGATTGTGCAGAATACACTCAGATTACTATCGTCAAGCATGCTTTCGGCTAAACGAATTTGCTACCTTATTTGGCCGACAAACCATCAAACTCTCGGTTTTTTTTGTTTTTCAAGCGGACGAATGGCATTCGGGTAATGAAACTTTAGTTTCATAATCGCCGATTGGAGAATCGGGTTCGTAATCTATTGGTGGTCCATTTTCATTGCCTTACTGGAGTAGTTTTCCCACCATAAATTCAATAAACTCAGCCAGATCACTTTGCTGGGTTCTATAAGAAAGTCAATTCAGATCGATTTCAGTTCAAGACCAGGTAAATTTATGATTTCTAATTGCAACGCGAAAAAGCATGGTGGAATAGTGATGGAATATTGTAAGATATTGGAACAATTTTAAATAATAAAAAAAGTATTTATGTTGACAATATTCGCTATATTTTTTAGCAAAAAAAAATAAATAAATATTATATATATATAATTTGCACTTCAGTATCATTTTAAGACGAGACGATGAATTAAATTAACTTCATCTTTATATTACAAAAGTAATTATCCAAAAAAATTCACATATTAATAAACTCACCAAACCAATTATTTTTTTTTTCTTACTTTTAGAAATACAACATACATAAGCACAAACAGCTACAAAAAAATTTTTTTTAAATATTTACACTAACCTTTATTACTTGGCAATGAGACCGTCGGCGAGGCCATCAAATGGCAGACACTCTCCAATTCATCCGTAATTGAAGTGTATTCTGTGTGGAACTTCAGAAGTATATTTCTGGAGGACTTCGCATGCAATGTGCTTGTTTTTCCTAAAAGGCATATCGACCGATATTAAAAGAATTAAAGCGGCATATACAGAAAGAGAGTGAGAGAGAGAGAGACAGAGAAAAAAAAGCGACGTATAAGAGAAAGAGTCAATAAAAATTGTTAATGCTATTAAGAAATGTTCATATATGTGTGTATTTGTAATGATAAAATAATAATTAATAAATAAAAGATATCTTAGTAAAAAAGAATAAATAAAAACTAAAATAAAATTAAAAATGTTTAGAAGAAAAGTAATGCTTTTGAGAGGTGGCTGAATTAAGTTAAAAGTGAGAATTTGATATGAAATATGAGCCGTAAAGCATAAAAAATGTAGAAATTAAAAGTGGTAAGCAAGCCCCTGTGCCACCAACATCCATAAGTTAAAGAAAACTAATTTAAATAAAAAAAGAAATTAAGTAAAATTTTCTAATTGCGGTCGCCCCGCGGCAGAGAATGTCAACCGCTCCGAGGGTATTTCTGACATGAAATAAAGGTTCCTCGTAAGAAAAAACCATTAACCGTTTGGAGGCGGCTTAGTATAAACTGCAGATCCCTCTATTTGTTGGAAAAACATAAAGACTCAAAACTACAAATTGGATTCGGAGCTCGGCCGCAAAATTGCTTTAGCCGTTACAAAGCGCCAATTATATATATTATATATTAGATATATATATATAAAATTCACTTAACACAAGAACTGAAACCGGTCTATCAGCAAAATTGTAGTATCTTTGATGATTGGGTCCTTAAAATGAAATCGTAAATTCGTAATTTCATCAAAAAATCATCTTGACATTTCCACCTCGATGGCTACATTAATAAGCAAAACTCTCGCGTCTGAGGCTCCCCAACCTCAAGATTTATTGTTGAAAAGTCTCTCAATTCTGTCACTGTTTACGGATCGGCGGGTTCATTGTTTTCAAAATGAGGCTGGAGAGCAAAAGTTACAATGAATGGAATGCGCTATCCGTAGATGATTAATGATTTATTATAGCCGGAGTTAGATGGCCATTTGGCTGTTATTGTTTTCCATTATTAATGGCATGTCTTTGTCTACTTAACATTTGACAAAATAACATCTTTTATTAGAAAACCCTGTGCATATATTGCTTTCAACTCTTTTGACTCCCATCCTTTCAAGCAATTTTTAAAAAATTGTATTAAAACTTAAAAATAAAAATTAAATAAAAAAATAATCGTAAATTATCATATAAAAGTTTTATTTGTAGAATGGTTGCATTTGAAAGGAAAAAATAGCTGAGGAAAAGGTAGGATATGATAGGATAACGACAGAATACACATATAACAGTTAAACATTTGTCAATTGTGTCAGTTAAGTTAGATGTAGTTTGCAGGGTTTTCATTTCTCGATGAAATGATTTATTCACAATTCGAATAAAATAATTCGCCGTTAAAATCTGTTAATGCTTCAAAATTAATCCCTTCTGCTTTAAGAATTTTAGTTCTTTTTTTAAAACAATTTTTTTTTTTAATTTAGATTTGAATTTGAAATTTAATGCAATTAAGTAGCTGAGCGGGCGCAATGCTGAGAAAAGAACACAAAATTCAAGAACAAATTCAACCCTACGAGAGCGCACAATAAATGCCAAATAAGTTCGAGAAACGAAAACACCGTTAGTTGTATTGCGATTGCTATTGGTATTGCCTATGTGTGAGGTGTTGTAGCTTGTTAATGATTAAGGGGAAATAATTTGGATATGTTAGTTGAGATTTAATACCATTCTATTCTTAGGCTAACAGCACGACACAACAACCAACAATTTTAATTAAAATACTGTTAAAAATGCCAATCGGACACTCATGTGCTGTGGTGCAATGCTGCTTTTGGAGGCTGGGCGCAAGCGATGGCTGCTAAATGGATGGAATGGCGATGGGATGGGATGAATTGATGGATATACTCGCAAAGGAAACTTAGTGATGTGGGTGTTAAGAGAAGAGTAGAGGATGGATTAAGCATGCAAAAAGTATAAAACTGAGCGTACATAAGGGTTAATTATATTAATTTTTATGCATAAATATATATACAATGTGTGTGTGTGTGTGTGTGTGTGTGAGTAAATGTTTTTGTGTGTGTACGCACCCCCTCCAATCGCCTCCTTGTCACTATCCGGCTCAGATTGGGTTATACTCATTTGCCGACGTGACAACGGCAATTGATTCAGACTTATGTGTGAACGGTTAATATCGGCAGCAGCAATGATGGAGCACGCTTCAGAGTTGCGACGACACAGCGATACGGTGCGTTGGCGCATAGCACGACGTTTGGCGGCTAAGCGTTTTTTTCGTTATTTTTTTGTTATAATTTTTTTTCAATTTTTTTTTTGTAACGAAAAAATGAAAACAAAAAAGAAGAAAAAGCAACAACAAAATTAATTAGTGTTTACCTTCGTTGTTTTTGGGTTTGGTTTTTTTTTTTTTTTTTTGGTTTCGATTTGCAATTTGTTTTGTACAACAACAATATGTGGGAATTTTATGTTTTGTTTTGGTTTTGCTTGTTTTTTTATTTTGCTCTACAAAAAATGACATCTACATACACACAGCTTGTTGACTGTTTATTTGGTCGAAATTGTTTGGTGATTGGGTGAGTGGTTGATTTTGACTGTCATTTTATGCACTGTTGGCCGGACATCATTTATGGTGATGTCGACGCGCCGTATGTTGGAACGACATGCCGGTGTTTAGATGTTTAATAAGGTATTTACCTTCGAAATTGAGCTCCTGATTCGTTTCATCGGAATTTTCGCCAACCAGCGTGTGTTCGTCGTCAGCACCCAGCGGCGTAAGTGTGTCTTTACTTTCAGTGCTGGCGCCGGTATCCTGCCGCACCGTGACATATGGTGTACGCTTTACAGTCTCACAGGTGGACGGTCGTTGGGACATGGGTAAATAAATGTCCGAATCGGATTCGGATTGCATTGATATTTTGCGGACTACATGATCGTTAAGTGCCTCGCGTGATTTGACTAGCTCATCGGGCTCTTCAGGTACTGGCACCACCTCGAAGTGGGTGCCTTCGTCGAATATGTATGCGTCCGGACGCACTTCGGTGAGTGAACGATTGAAGCGACGGCGGTTATTGACCTGCAAGGGGAGAGTGAGAGAAGGATAAATAACTATAACAACAATTACAAAATTGAATATAAAAAATCCTGAAACCAAAACAAAATCTATACACTATTTTTGAGCTTCTCTTTGGAAATATTTTCCTGTTGATAATTTATACCCAGAACTCACCTGTAAATTTGGTGGTGGCATCGGTGCTTCATTATCAGACATCGATACTGTTCGTACGCGTGGCAAATCGACCGCTATATTCATGTGAGACGCTCGTAGGTCTCCGCCATCCGGCATATGCATCGACATAAACCGATGGATGACCGCGAGAGTTGAAAGTATTTGCTCAGATGATTCTTCCATTTTACGAAGGCGAAAGTCGATACTCTGTGGAAGAGAAATAATTAAACTAGAGAGCAGTTGATTTACGCAAATTTCTTTACTTGCATATTTTTTCATTCATTGCACTCGTCGGGACTTAAAGTTAGAATCTGGGACATAGTCAGCGGGATGAAGACTCTTTCAGCGTTAGGATTTAATACATCAGCTACCTAACGAAAGGGTCAGACGTTTTTTAGATGACAGGAAAGAATGTGAGCTTGCTTGGCAACTTATTTAAAGCACAGCTCAGATCTGCTAAGGTTAAAAGTTGAAATGAGAGCCGCGGCGGCTTAACAGAATGAGGGTTATTTCGACCGCAGGGAAACTAAGAGAAATTCAGGGCATAGCAATCTAATCAGGCGATGCAGACTGGATTTTGCAATGATGTAGATGTGTCATCGTTGACATATGCAGAATACCGCCGTTACTGCCAACTTACATATTCTATAAATGGCGAGCCAAAATAAGCCAGCTGAATGAGAAAAGCAGGATCGCTGGACAGGGCAGCATACATGACGCCATAGTCAGCCGACATATTCAAAGACTCTCTTGCCATGAATGGCATACTCGGAGTCAAAGCACCACCCACAGTAAATGAATAGCACGAGCTGCCTCGAGAGACTCGCGTGATACTGGCGCAACTTATCACTGGATACTGTAGCAGGTTGAACTTCTACTTATCCAGACTCGACCCCAACGTATGTCTTGCATGTACAGAGTTTCCACACGATACTAATTCACCTCCTTACATGCCCCCTGAAACCGACGCATCTAAACCCCTCTGTCTCTGGTCCAATACCGTCGGAACAGCACGTATCCTGGACATCACGTTAGCTGATCTCGGTGACTTAGATTGATTAGTCTGTCCCGAAGCGGGGTCCGCTAATACAACCACATAAAAGTATCTCAACTCCAGCGACAAAAGGTGAAGTGAATGAAATCCGAAGGAATATATGTGTAGAAATAACCGCGAAAGTTGGCAAAGGTAATACTCGATAATATAAAAAGAAAACCAGAGTATACTCATTTCGCAACGAAGGATGTAATCTGATTATCGTTAATTACTGTGTGAACGAGTGGTTAACATTCGGCCAGGTGACTTAGCTTTAGTTCGACCAATATTCAAAATTTATAGATTAATTTAAGTAAAAAATGAATACAATTTTCTAAATGCGGTCGCCACTCGTCAGGAAATGTCAAGCCCTCCGAGCTCGGAGGTGGCGAAGTATAAATTGAAGGTCCCTCGCATAAAGAAACTCATCAGGTTTTTGCAGAATATTGTCGGCTGAGAGCTTGCCCGGTGATTGAAACCTTAGTGTGTTCTGTCCAATCCACAAAAAAGCGATCCCACAGTCTACGCTAGTTACCGCAGGATAAGCTTTCTTATAATCGCATATAAGGTCCTATCGAAAGTTTTGTATGAAAGACTAAAGTTCACCGTCAGTAAACTATTTGGAGATTGTCAGAGTGGCTCTAGACCTGGTAATTTAAACATTGATCAGATATTCACAATGTTAAAAATCGGTTTCCCCAAAATACTTATGCGGCTTTGTAAACTGACGTTAAGCAACACTAAAAGCTCCATCGGAATTGGTTAGAAACAGATTTCACATTGGAAATAGTGAGTTCCAGTCGATTGAACGATGAGCTGTACGTGATATACGGAGACTTTGATATAGTTCAACAAATAAAGATACAGCGTGACTAGGTCATGTAGTGTGAATGAATGTAAACACTCCAACAGTACCCGCTGAGTGAAGCAAAGGAATATGAAGACTTTCACAAAGTTGGAGGTATCAGGTGGAAAACGACCTGGTTTCAGTTGGTATTTCCAACTGCTACCAAACATAGAAGGGAAAGAACGATTGGCGCGTTATTATTGATTCGGCTACAATCACCATAAGGGAATTACTCGACCCTGAAGTGCTAGACGCGACTGTTAACATACACATAGAGTTTGTCTACCGAAACTAACATCAACATCGTCGAACTTCTATTTATTTCAGAGGAAAAGCTAGAGCTGTTCGGTGAGGTCTGCGCAATCATAGCTTAAAAAATTAATGAAAAATAAGGTGTGAATATTGCAGACCTCAAAATGCTTTGACTCTAGCGATAGCAAGGTATATCCCAAATACAACAGCTTCACTCACGGCTCTTACCACCTTTTTGTGTGCATCGCCAAGCTTATTACGGATTCTTCAGAACGTAATGAAGCAGCCCGTCGGGACCCAATGAAACAGCCCGTCAGAACTTAACGAAACAGAAGATTTTCTAAGCTTGTTGTTAGAAAACATTGATTTATTGATAAGCAAATAAGTTTGTCATGTGTCATATGGCCATTATGTGGATGGTATTTTTTAACTAGAATCCTTGGAGTTTTTGGTCTAAAGCAAATACCAAGATGACAAGATCAACATCTTTATCCGTCGATAGGGAATCTCAGCCCTGCGACTATGATTTCTGACATGAAATGAATAGCTCGTCATAAATATCCCTCAGCTGTGTGGATGCGGCTTAGAAAGAAATGCAGGTCTCTTCATTTGTTTAAAAAAATCCGGAAATTGCTTTTGAGTTTATAAAGCGTCAAAATCGTACTAAGACTGAGCCCGAAAATTTGTTTCATATTTATTGCGAACACTTTTAAGTGTATTTGAGAGCAAGAAGGCTTCTACAAAAGCTCTCTAGCTATAAAGCTTTAATACTCTAATAAACATATGTACATTCACATCGAAAGGACTCACCTGCACCGTAGCTGTTTGTACATTCTCCTTTTGATTAATATCCTCAATCTTTTGCGCCAATATCTCAACACGTTCCGTTGTATTTTTAACACGTTCATCTGTCGACTGATTCAATATGATTTCCTGTTCGTGGAAGAAACCCTCAACACATTCCTCTTCAAAATCATACAAACGTTCCATATCATCCTTTTCCAAGAATAATTTTAAGCCATTGTCACGTTGTACCTCCAATCCTGTGTGGGGGGGGGTGACGAAGTGCCAGCGGCATATTTCACATATTTTTTTTTTTTTGTTACAATTGCAAGTTTTCATTTACACAACAGCAATAACAACAAAGGTGCATTTGAGTGAATGACAGCAGTTGTTGATGGGTTTTGAAGATTTGCGAGGATTTCGTTGGTTCATCGGTTGGTTTTATTGGTGTTGTTGTTGTTGATTTTGTACATTTAAAACGTAGATTGTTGTTTGTTTTTGTTATTTATTATATTTCATTGTTGTCCATAACAATATTTATCGGCATTATTAAGGTTGCGCGCAGCAATTGTTGTATTTGTGTTGCCCATCAAAGGGATGTGCCAGGTTGTCGCGGATTTTAAGTGATGTTATAGGGATTTTTTTTTCATTTAATTTTTTTTTTCGCAGCAGCAGCGCAGCAACAACATTTGTAGACAATTGCAGTTTGTTCAATCAATAAAAAAATTATAAAAAAAATTTTATCAGCAAATTTTTTTTGTCGCAATGCAAATTTCAAGGTAAAAATTTAATGATGTACAGTTATATTTGATTGTATGTATGTATGCAGGTAGTGGCGTATATTTGTATGTATTTTTATGTACATGTGCATGCATTTATATGTTCCATATGAGTTTGCACAGATGTAACCAACGTGTTGTCATCAACATAACAGTCAACATTGACGTCGTTGTCATCATCATCAACACCAACAGCACCATCAGCATCAACAGCACCATCAATGCCATGCCAATGATAACAGCAAAGGTGTGTTTACAAACAATGATCGACCCAGCAGGAGTATGTGTGTGCGGGTGTGTATGTGTGTGTTGGTTTGTATGGATTTTGGTGTGGTTCAATGTGGCATCAATGGCAATATGTGGCAGTTATGAAGTGCAGCAACAACAAATTATGCCAATAGCAAATGACATTTGTCATATTTATATATACATTTACACGTTGGTATATACATATGTATGTATGTATGTAGTTGTATTGGCGTTTCATAAATTTTTTGTTAGCAAATTTGATGTTAATGTGAAATTGTTTAGTTCCATTTGGCAAAATTTCCCACATATTTTATAATTTATAATTCATTTTTATGTGATTTCAGTATATTCCAGCGATGTATGCGTGTATGCATGTGTGTGTGTGTTAGCCAATTTTGTGTTTTATTTTTTGATGATCATTCAATATTTGTAAATAATGTCCCACATGTTGCATGCAAATGTTCGGAGTTGTTGTTGGAATTGTGTATATAGAATACGTGTATGTGTGGCATGTGGCATTGTGTATTCAACAACCATGATAACGACACCGTTAACGGCGCAGCGTAAATTCGTAAAAAATATACAATAAAAAAAAGTATTATTTTAGTTAAATTCATTGAAGCGTTAGTATAAAAACTCACAGGGAATAAAATTTAATTTTCTCATTCCTCTCTCACCTTTCGCTTTGCGTATACAATACTTGAGCAGCGAGTAGAAATGGCAGAGTGCGATGAAGGGTGGCGGCAGCACGGGTTTCTGTTGATACTCCATAACGACGGTGAAACGTTGGAACATCCAAACCTGCGTATAATCCAGCCATTTCAGTTAAATCAAATTCCGTTGCGTCGAGGAGTAGTCAGTGTCAGTCATCAAGCCATTAGTAGCCGCCATTACACCCATACAAAGCCATAAAACAGCAATAAAAAAAAGTTCGTTCACATGGCATCAAGCAGTAGCAGTCACAGACGTACAACAGTTGGTTTGGTGCAGCAGCAACAGTTATGGAAAAGTGATGCAAGATTTACGTTTAGCATTTCCAATAATTTTCATTTTCACACAAAAAAAAGAAGAAGAAAAATCGCATATGAAAATCAATACTGAAATAAGGCACGACTAAAGTTCACTCTTTCTCTCTCTCTCTCTCTTTCTCTCTCTCTCTCTCTCTCTCTCTCTCTCTCTCTCTCTTTCTCTCTCTAACTTCTTCTCTCATGTGCTGCTACATAAATTATACAGTTAGTACAGTATGACGCACCTGATGCGAAACGGAGTTCACTTCGTTGAAAATGTTATTGAAGACAGCTATTAGCAGATTAATTAGTAAAATGTTGGCGATTAACAAGTACATTGCCATTATGATCGGTGTCACCCAGTGGCCTGTGGAGAGAAAAGAGAAAAATGTCAGTTTCACATTTTATTTAGAGGCTTAGCATGTAGTCCAGGTACGAGTACTTAAAAATAAAAATATATAACAAATATACGAGAGGACTAACAAAAGTTCGCTCAGTTGGTGACTTTCAATTTGTTTTTGTAAAATCTAAAAATACCAAATTCTTTGCAATTGCTTTATTAGTTTTTATTTCAAATTTTGGAACGATCGGCTAAAATGGAAACGAGAAAACGCAAGATAGCTGAGGAAAGGTCTGACGAAATCCCACCGCCAATGCAAACAGAAATTCGCCAAGTGATTCTCTTTGGGTTTCGGCGTAAGTAAGAGCCAATACAAATATTCAGTGAGTGCCAAATTTCATATGGAACGATTGCACCGCCTTTAAAGACTACTTCTAAGAGGTTCCGAAGATTTCAGACCAGACAGTTTTTCTTGGAGAAGGAGCCACGAGTAGGTCGACCAAAATCTTCCACTGCTAACGTCACTGTAGCTCTGGTGTAGTACAAAATTGACGAAGACTCAGTATTGACACAAGAAATGATTGGGTTTGAAAGCCATGCCAGTATCGCGTATACTAAGTAATCAGCTGGGATACACGAAGAAATCTGATCGATGGTTACCACGAATTTTAAATGAGGCCCAAAAAGAAGCACGAGTGCATTTCGCTCAATTTCTCCTAAACAAAGTCGAAAATTTTCAGTTTTGCCATTTTAGTACAGTCTATAATGGTGACGAATCTTGGTTCTATAAGTACGATCCAGAAACCAAACAGCAGTCTACGGTATGGACCCAAGCAGAAAAAAACCCACCCGTAAAATCTAAGCAACAAAAATCAGCAGCAAGAAGAAATATGACAGTTTACTTCACCCGATCTAAAACCGTATCTGCTGACCCACTGAAAAAGGATCAGATGGTAACTGCAAAATGATACATGGAAGATGGCTTACCAAGAGTTTTCAAAATCTTTTTGGAAAACAGGAAGAAAAAGGATTTATGGCGCTACTTTTTACTGAATTTGATAAGTTTGAATGCAAGATTTTGAATACTGTTTTCAGAATTGGATCTATAGGCATACGAAAATTTCCTACAGCGAAGGCAAGCAAACCTACTTTTTGTTTAGGAAAGTTGTAAGCCTTATGTCAAGACATAATCTACAGGAGTCATACTCAGGCAGAAAGGGAATAGGTAAAAGTGACAAATGTAGGTCATGTAGGGATGATTGAACTGTAAGAACAACTCCTCTGTTTTTATTCGAGCTGATCTAGCAAAGGCCTTATGCATCTACGAACTTCGTTGTTCGGAGGAGCAGAGGAAACTTGAAGATTGTTTATGGGCTCTCTTATAATTTGCAGAAAGCGTTGACTACTACTTAAAATCATATTAAATTGAACGTTCATGTCGTATGCAAAGGGCCAACCTATGTTAGGTGAAACAGCCAGGCAATAATTTAGTCGAAATGGCCTCGACATGCCCAAAGGATCTGATTATGATTCATAAAAAATTAATTAATCCTCAAAGGCGACGAGATCCAACTGATTTACAATTTTTATATAATCACAATAACTCAACCATAATCAAATAAAATTGGGAAAAAAATAATATTAACTATAAATAAATTTCCCTAGAACAAATGTCAACAAAATGACACATTCACGAGCTCAGGGAGTTTTTTAAAGGATTTTTCCATTTTTATGAGCTTAATTTTCTCATCCTAATACTTTGGTCTGAAGGATTGTTGATTAATTTTAAAAAGTGATTTTTACTGACAATACATATTGGAGAAAAACAGAAAGCCCCAGAGGATAAAAGAGATTTTCTTCAAGATAAAAGTAGCTGCTAATTATTTTTTGTCTGCTACATTGGATATATTGGATTTTCGAATATCTTATTTATGCCGAATTCCACACTGAACTCTAACCTTATCACTAGAATAATAAATTTTTAGGCTACTTCATCAACTCACCAGTGGGGCATGGCTTCTGATGTGGCTCCTCACCGCAAGGTGGATCAATATCATCGGCGAACACTTCACCATACAACATGAAGTATGGCTGATAATAAACCTGTGAATGAATCGCAAAAGAAGAGAGAGGAAATAGAAATAAATTAAAATTTTGTATTGAAAGAGAAATGAGATTAAAACGATTAAGACGCGTTGAGAGTTGACACAGATGTGTTAGTAGAATAGCAGTTAGGCGGCAAGGCAGTAGGATAGACAGACAGTTACACAAATGCACAGTAAGCACAACAAAACGACGAGGGAAATATACAAACCAATGTTGGTTGCCATTTTGAGGGAATTAAAACTAAATGCTAAACACACAAACATACATACAGACAGACAGCAATGAGTAGGCGCTTGGAAACAGAGAAATTTCTACACAAGGTAGGAGGGAGTACACAGAGTTTAAGACACATACACAGGCTTATCCATTTTGCGGTTTCGAAAATATACGCAGATAAAATGCATTAAAAAATTTTTTTTTTTTTTATGAAATCCATTTTTAAATTATAGTGTATGAATCTTGACATCTTATCTCAAACATTACATCATCCATTTGAGGTAATTTTCGACTACTTTTTGGCCTATATCGGTCGGTATCTTGAGGCAAGTTGGTTTTCAAGTACTCAATAGTTAAATAAAGTTTATCCGCATAGACACGGTCCAACGGTATCAAATCGCACGATCTCGGTGTCGGTCGGAAAATTTCTCTCCCAATAAAGCCATATTCGATCGTGTTATGTAGCATGTGGCAACAACTTGTTGAAACGACATATTGTCAAAGTCGTGTTCTTCAATTTTAGATTTAAAAACTGTCTATCAACGATGCGTTGATTGTGACAGTTTCGGCGTTGTCCTTTTCAAAGAAGTAAAGTCCAATTACATCTCCGGACCTCCTTTAATTATTTGAGGATTCTCGAAGCCTCAATAGACCAATTTTGCTAATTAACGTATCCCCAGAATGAGAAATATGTCTGGTTGCTGACTGTACGTGTAACTCCAAGCGCATAATATGCCATAATGTTCTTTAGGAAAGTACCAGCTCTACACATATTCGCTTACGCAATTGTAGCAGAGCTAGCCACATTTATTCTTTTCGCTGTTTGGCACCAATTGAAATTATCAAGTTTAGCCTTATCCTTCTCTACCTGATTCTACCGGCGAGTACTGCATCGAAGAACTTCAAAGCTGGAGTGCTTTCATCCATACGGACCACATACCATACTCCTAGCGCCGACTCAACAGATTTCGTCATTGTTCATGCATCCACACCACATAGTAGGTGGGACACGATGGTGTTAATACTGGACCCAAGACAGACGAAGTTATCTACAACTTAAAAATTATGGCTGTCAACAGTGACTTGGGAGCCGAGACGATTGTAGGATTATTTGCATCATAATCTCCTTTTAAATCACGAAACGTGGCCACTTAAAATCACCTTTTTTTTGAGTAGGTTTTAAAAATTTTGACGCGTTGTGCGGGTGTTGAGCGATCCATTTTCCTATATGTTTGACTTTTAATTAACACAAAACAAGTTTGGTTTGCCTGTTAAGTTTTACATACAAATGTCAAAGTACAGCGCCGTAACTTTGAAACCACGCAATGGATAACCCTGTACATTAGAGTATGCATAAACACAGTTAAAGAGCTTTATTTTCAAATTACAGTTAAATAGATTGTTGTAGTTGCTATAAATAAATTATGTATTTACAATATGAAAACTAAATATATCGACTACATCGGCTAATCGGATTTAAAAACATTTCTTAATTTAATTTAATTTAATTTAGTTATTTACATATATACATCTGTTACTGAAATTCAAAGTTCAGACTTTCAATGAATATCCCGAATTGTCTATTAAAGCAAAAATATAGATACTAAAGAAAATAAAAAATACAAACATACAAAAGTTAGAGCAATAAAATTACAACAAATCAAATGCTGCTGAGCAGTTGAGCAGATGCTAAATGCCACAGCAAATCAATCAACTGTCCAAGCGTGCGTGCGTTCACTAATTTATTAGTCACTGTGGCGGCTGTCTAAGGAACTCAAGGTTCAGCTTTGCGCCTAAATGTATGTAACTAAAAGGATGCTAAAGTATGAGTTTGGTTTTATTTACTTATCGATTTGTGGTCTCTTTAGTGACCAATGGACTGTAATGAACGCTCGTATTAAATACCTTAATGATTTTTTTTTTTATTTGTTAGGGTTTGATTTTGCCGATGATTTTCTTAGTTAGATTTGATACATTCACGTTGCCCTTCAATATTACCTTTCCTTCGCAAAAAGTATATTACTTTAACATAAGAAACTTATTTCGCTTTCGGGTTAGTATGGTAAGTAAATCGGAATATCTCTTTCCTTTTCTCTTTTTCTCTCTACAACAATAGAAAACTTATGACGAGAGCGAACAAAAAATGCATCTATCATTAGGTGTCTACATTGAGAAAGAGAAAAATAAATTGGCTTTTTTATTTCCACCTCTTCCCCGTTTAGCCGACTTAAGAACACTCCCTCGGATAAAACGATTGTAAGAGCGAGAGTATTCAGGCAGAAAAGAGAATGATGATTTATAGGTTTAAATGGGGTTCTAAGAGATTAACCCGAGTTACCCAGAGATCATACTTTCAACCGATGAACATAAAATAAGTCGCCGTCGATTGAGGTTCTGTTATGAAGCCGACAAAAGGGAAGCTTCAATGTTGGTTCTTCTTGGTGGATTGGACTGAAAGCTAGTTAAAATAAACTATGTCTTTAGTGATTTCAACCAGAGTTAGCAAAAATTAAAACTGAGACCATAATTAAGTTTCCTCCCTTCTATGTAGAAGTTGTCACTTTATTTTTGTGGATTAACTTCAAAGTTCGCGAAATATAAAGTTTTATTATGAAATACATAACTTCAACATAAAATGCAATGAAATATAAAAATGTGTATGTGCTGGTGTGTGTAAATATCATCTCTAAGCTTTACAGTCAGTGTCTTTATGACTAAGTACGCAGGAACTGCATTAACATAATTCTGGCTAAAATCATAAATCAAATTATGCACGAATGAATATGTAAAACAAAAAGAACATAAAAAAAAATTTATTAAAAATATATGTATGTAAAAAAATTAAAAAAAAATAAATTTTAGAAAATACATAAAGCATCTCCTTTTATGAAAGTAAAAAACACAAGTAAAAAAGTGAGAAATAAAAATGAAATCAAACAACTTGTAGCTTCTGCAGCAAAGATGTAAAACAAAAAAAAAATACTTCTCCGATATACGAACTGATACTTAGTGAAAGCACCAAAGTTGTGAAACGTAAAAAAATGACTATAAAAATAAAGGGTGCTTGCTTAGACATGTGATTTTCAAGGAGATATAAAACGCATTCAATTTGTTGTTATGGCTAAGAATAGCCCTAAAGGGTTTTCCAATAAGAGGTGTTATTTTGAATATCCTGCTATACCGGTAGATGTCACTTTGAAGCTGTAATTTGTTGACACACCCAATTGAAATGATTTAAAATGATGATAATTAAAATGGAGCTGTTGGGACATGTTAGTGATGTGAAGAATAACCACGTCGTATCTTTGCTGCTTAAATTCTTGAAATGCCTGAAAATGATCTCGAATTTCATCGAAAATGTATCTTGACAGATGAGGCCCATTTCCACCTCTGCGGCTATGTCAGCAAGCAAAACTGTCGTATCTGGAGCTCGGAAAGCCCAATATTTATAAGTGCAAATCCTTCGAACGGGATCTGCTGAAATGCCTTTGCGAAAATGAAGCTGACGCAACAGTTACCGTACAGTTTCCTGACCATGTTATCCCTCGAAGTGGTGATTGTTCACCAAGATCTTGTGACTTAAAACCGTGCGACTTCTTCCTGGAGCTTTTGGAGCAACGTGAATGATAAGGTCTGCGCCTACAGACCAATGTCGAGTCAAGACCTTAAAGATGGAATTCATGAAGATATTGAGGATGGAAAATTTCATAAAAAGGATATGGTTCTATAAACGTGGCCGATGACATTTGGTTGATATTCTTTTGCATTCTTAATGACACATCTTTCTCTTTACAGTGAAATAAACACCTTTTATTGGATAGCCCTCTATGAAAATAAGGCTTTGCCATTATGTTTCAAAAATCAATTTCAGAAAAAGGACCGCCATGGCTAGCTGGAATAAAGTCCAGTCGAGATGTCTAATTTTGGACTACTTTTTGCAGGGCTTGGGTGCAAATGTCAGCAATAACGCTCTACGGCTCTATAATATTCCCAATTAACTATAACTGCCGGTTTCATTTTGGAAGAAATATGTACAAATAATTCACTCTGCTCATAGAGCACACCAAACAGTAATTTTTTGAGGATGCAAGGGTATCATCATTCCAACTGCGAGAATTTTGTTTATTGGCGCACTAATTCAAACAAAAAAAAAAACGATGAGGTTCACATCACTGAACAAAATTTTCTTGTGAAAATCGTGATCAGTGCCCATCTCGTTCTGGGCCTATTCCCTGAACGTGGGAAGCGTTTGATGGTCGTTCGGCTACGATTCTTACACAAGTTAGATTTTGTAAGCCCGAAGACCAAGACCTTTCCGAAAAGACTTCTGTTTGGAAACTTGGTGTGAAATCTGTCTATGCTTGCTGGAAGTACAGACTCCGAATATTGGCTATAGCGCGAGAACCAAACCAGTTTTTTGCTAATTTGTAAGCACATGGTTTTTCGAAGCAATTCCGTACGTGGAGTATAAAGTGAGTAACAGCTGGAATAAAGACCAACTCTGATAAAAGCATTGCCCCATTGAAAACCACACATCTAAAAAAAAAACACCCTTTATATGAATGTGACACATAAAATGTAGAAAAAATATGCTTTACATAAAAAATTGCATGAAAACTGATTTACTCCTCTCAGCAGTAACAAGCGAATGTGGAATGAAAAAGAAAAAATTGATGACGAAAAAATGCAAATTTGACTAAAGAGAAAGTGAGAAAAGCAAAAAAAAATTATATATATATACATGGTTAGGCAAATATGCAGCGACTAAATACATGAACCGA